TTTGCAATTGAAAAACAAAGCAAATGACTTATTGATATATCCACATACCTGCCAATGGGCTGTAGCGTACTGTTGTGGCAGGTTGTAGGATTATCTTTATATGGACTCACAACGTACGTACATGTAATATATCTAGCACTCAGGATTGAGGTAGAATAGGAACTCACAATGCGTTTCCTGTATATATATTGTTGTACAGTACAGTGTTAAAGAGTTACTAGGTCAGGAGAAGCTTGCTCAGAGTTCCTGTCGGGCGAGGAGCTTTCTGAGGGAGCGGGTGGTGTGGAGATGTTGAGAGATGTTGCTTGCTGGTGGCGGTAGGTAGAAAGAGGTAGGTCACCACGAGGTGAGGTCTTATATAGCGGAGGTAGGCGTGGCTTGATGGTAGACCTCCACTTTGTTCGGCGTCGCTGGTTACCGACCTTGACCACGAGGCGTACGCTGGGGAATTCACGGGGGGGTCGGCTGGTCAGCGACACGGCGGTTGTAGGGGAGGAATCCACTACAGGGCCATCCACTCCTGTAGCTTGTTGGCGAGGGAAGAAGGAACTGGAAGACCTGCCTCCCAAAACTTCTGCCTCAGACAAGTGTCTTCAACATCAGGGCAATTCATAGTGTCAACTTGTAGCAGGGAAAATATTGCTTAGTTTGGATGAGTGTCTTTAGTTTTGAATCTTGTTTTTATCTCAGAGATAGAGAAATCAATGAAATGGATTGCAACATTCCTTTTGAAATGCTCCTGAGTGGAACTTGCAGCAGCATTAACCTTGTGATCTTTGGAATCTCAATTGCACATCCAACATCATCTGCCATTTTCTCACAGGCTGTGTACCATAAAGTAAACTCTGTGACGAAATTGGATCTTATTTTTTGAAGCCTTGCAATTGCACTTTCAACCAGTAGATAGGTTTGGTAAATGTCCTGATCTTGTTTTTGCAGTTTTGTTACCAGGGATCGAAGAACTTCCAACGTGCTTCTCATAGTTTGGAAGGCCAATGTTGGTAGAAGACCTCATGTTGAATAAGAGTCCTGGTATCACGATCCCAAGACCTAACTTTGATCTTATCAACATCATCACCCTCAGTTTGATTCCTTATACAGTATACATCTCTGGGAATGAGGGTGGGTTAATAGTGCACTCCAGGGTAAGAGCCACATTTGAGTACAGTTCTTGAAAAGTATTAAGGCATGTATATCTTTCCATCCATCGTGCCTTACACAGTTCTTTGAGTTTGGATATTTGCCTTGAGTCAGTAGTGTTCTCCAAAACTCAATCCAGCAATCTTTGTCATTTTGGTGAAAGGTCAAAGAACAAAAACATTTCGTTCAGTAAATCAACCATATTACGGATGGAAGCAACCTTGCAAGAAGATACAGTGCTGTATAATGCAGTTGGCACTAGGCTTTTGATTCTGCCTTTTCTGATGACATGACATTTGCTCGGTCATAGGAATGTCCACGAATTTTTTGAAATGTCCACACCACTCCGCTTCAGCGAAGAAATTATAGCATTTTATAGCCTCACCATTTGCACGTTCTAGATGAACAAAATTAATGAAGATTTCCCTGATTTCTGTTTTTATTTGGTCTACAAACCCACAAGCCTTAAACAAATTGCCAGCACTTCTTGATTGGCAAATTTATATGTAAATTAATCTGCGATGACAGAAAATCCTGCATCATCATCCACGAGAGGTTTTATAAGCACAGAAACAATGTGACCACCGATGATTTTGATAATTTCATTTTGTACTGTCCTTGAGGTACATTGGGCAATTTTTATGTTTTTAGTAAGTGATCTTGCAATGATTTATCATTCTCAGCTAGCAGATCTACCACTGCTAAGAAGATCCCTTTGTTCATAGATTTTTGCGATGAATCATCCCCATGGCCTCACAATGGAATATTTTGCCTTCCACAAAACACTATAGCCTTGACTATCAGTCTCAATATGTGAAGGTTCTTCTCAAATAGCTTTTTCTGAGACGATGCCATGTATGTCACTGTTTTTGTTGGGTCCTGGTGAAGCTGAAAGAGCGTAGCTCCAGCTTCAACGGCATCTTTATGGTTATGCAACTGTTAGTGTCTTTCTAGGAAACCATCTTTTCCAGTGGCCTTACTTAGGTTGGTAATGGCTTGGTTAACAAAGCTCCCGTTTTATTTATGTGGGAATCTTTTGGAGTGAAAACACAATACTTGCAGAATCCACCATGCATAGCATCACTGTATCCAACCCACCTGTATTTATCAAGCCAAGTTGACTGAAATGTCAGTGTCTTCACAGAAGCATTTTTTCATTTTACTACAGTTTCACTCAAACACTTATAGCTGCCCTATGGCCTGAAATACATCTTCAGATACTTAACTTTGTCATCATTAGAAAGAGAGTTAAGTTTGACTTTACCGCTTACAGTGTTTCCTACATCAATATCTTTGCACAAGTTTTGCAAAGTGCTCTGTGAATTATTGTCAAGAACTTGATAGTGTGACTCTTGCATGCTCCATTCAGGGGTAAGACACAACACTGTACAGTGATACCCCGATTTACGCGGTCAATTGAAACCACGGGGTACCGCGTAAAACGAAAACCGCGTAAATGGAATAACAGAACATATGTGATTAATTCCAATAGAGATTGGCCCGACCCCCAAACTCCACTTTTTCAGACACAATACCTACGTTGTAGTAAAAATAACATCTTAATTTTATGATGGTATGCACACACAATTAATAATTAAGAGAAATATCAATAATATTAGGTTTTTTAACACTTACATTAGTAGAAAAGATGGCTGGGCACACGGGGATGGGGGGTTGGTTCCGAGGCAGAGGGCAGATTATTGGCCCTCACCTGTATCACTTGTATCAATTGTATCACTATCCACCACAGAGGCTTGCAGGGCCTCTTTGTCAAACCCCTCAAAGTCCATATCCTCACTATCACTGACTTGGGACGGCTGTGGTGGGTGACGGGTGAAGAACTCGGTAATGTTTTGATGACTGGGCGACCTTGTGCACATCCTGCCTGCGCCGCTTCCCGCGTATATGAGTAGATGCACCGCGTAAAATGAAATTCCGGTTCTGGCAAGGTACCGGGTAAATGTAGAATCGCGTAAAGCGAAACCGCGTAAATCGGGGTATTACTGTAATAGGTTCACATGATGTAATTTCATCAGAGCAGGGTTTTGGTTGTACAGTAATGATTCCGATGTACGAAGATACAGCACTTGAAGTGTTCCTTGCTGCTACATTTGTCTGCGATTCATTGTTGATAACCACCTCTGTCCTCTTTGATCAAACCTTTGTTGTAAACCGAGCTACTCTGCCCCCTTACCGTGACTGGCATTCACTTATTAATCTGTGACGTCACCTGAACACACATACGGCCCCACCTGATTTTCTGAACTAGATGACGGCTGCGTTAATCTCTGACAAAGTTTTCATAAGCGATAAACATAAATGAAACCAATAAATCGTGAAGCAATCATCATTGTAAAGTACAGATACATCAATGTAACTCTGGGAACAATCTGCCAAAGTGTTCTGATGGCACCAAGTGTGAGCTCTTTCAAAACCAGACTTGACCAACACTGGAGCAGGTTCAGGTACATTCAGGAGCCAGATCATGCCCAGTACTTGCTTACAGTGCATAACAGAGACGTGGCCGACCGGTGAATGGAAATAGTCTCTCCTGTGAGCTATTGCGGTGTGGCACACTATAACAGGCCAGGAAACTGTTAGGCAGAGGCGTAACCCACCGTCCCTCAGATCAGCCTGGGCTGATAATCCGAGGTCAACTGGTGTGCTGAACTACCGGATCAGGTCACTTTCATGGCACCAAATGTTGGGGAACACCTCGTGAAGGGTCAACTGTCGTGACCTAACATAAGTGTGTAGGTGGTATAACAAACTTACATATTATTTACTATAATTATTTATTTATTACAATTATAATATTGATTAATGTACGTAACTAATTTTTGTAAAGGAAAGTCGGTGGAAAATTAAAGCTTTACGGCAATACAGTAATATACATAGCCGGTATCAAAGATTTTATAGTATAAACCACAATAAATAAACATTTAGAAAAAAATATATAAAATTTTGTGATACAAAAAATGCAGTACAATACTGCATTAAAGGAAAAGTACTGGAATTTTCTGATGAAAAGCAGGGTCTGGACCCCCTGGATCTGCCCTTGCATAGTAGAAGTAGCCAAACCAATATCTTTCCCAATCTTGGTAGGGTCATGACTGCATTCATGATGCTTTATTACTTCCAGCTTTGTCTCATGAGTAACAGCCTTTGGTGGTTTCTTTGGTGTAGTACAGGTAGCCAAAGATTCAGCAGAACATTTGGATGCCATTATGAAAGTTGCAACGAAAGGATGGTATGAATACACACAGATAAAGAGAAAGCACTTTGCACACAACAAATGGCAGAGGGAAGGAGGCAGGCTTGTGGGCCGTGCCAGCTAACTCCAGGCATGCGAAATTTGAATTTTTGCCCAGACCCAAATTCATATAAGCGGGGAAAGCTTTCGTTTCTCAAAATGGTGTGAATTTAGAAAATGTGTATAAGCGAATTTTCACATGTTGAATGGTTGTATCTTGAGGGATACCTGTATACTGTGCCCACCTTCCACAATCGGTGCATATTATTAAGTTGCTATTTTTTAGACAGTGCATAGTCATTTTCCATTGTCTTATATGGATCCTTGCCCACACGACTAATGCTAATTTTGTTTTTACCATTTTAACTCTTATACTCTTAGATTCCATTCCACCCTTTCATTTCCTAAATTTCTTTAGTAACTCTTCAATACTATCTATTTTCAGGATACAACTCCCAGGGCAAACCTATTCTGAAATCCTGCAATAATGCATCAAACACCATGATAAACCCTTTTAGAGAACCAGTCTCCCCCCAAAGGGGTGGGGCAACACATTGCTTTTTAAATACTATTATGAGGAAACAAGCACTCTGAATCAAACTTTTTCAATCCTAACTAACTTTATTAAGTAAAATTTTACAGTTTCATCAGTTGCTACACTTCTTGTCACAGGCAGTTTCAAAATCTTTTCATGGCTCACAATCAACCTGTTGGGCACACAGAGCCATATGTGGAGTATTTCATATAAAAACATTAACACTGTAAAGATAATCACATTCTGCAAAAAGTAAATATTCAAACTATCAATCACATGATGAATATGAACAGGATATCTTATCATCTATCGTGATGTGAAAATAAAAAAGAAAAGAAAAAATTTGTTTAAATTATGATATAAAGATCAATTCACATATGGACAACACGTCTACATACCGTAGCCTTTATTTGACTGTGACTGATATAATTGTGATGTCATCATAAGGCTTATCAGTTTTGGGATTGCACTTCACATTGGAAATGTTCTGTACAACTTCCATGCCACGGATTACACGGCCAAACACAGTGTGTTTGGTATCCAGCCAAGGCTGCAACAGAAAAGTACAATCAAGTACAGAGTAAAATAAATTTTGTTACATTCAAGATTACAAATGGTTTCCCAAATTTGAACATTTATTATAAATATATAACAAAGATACAGTGAAAAGCATGATATACTAATAAAGAAAATTTCATAAAATTTTATTTTTACACTCTAGAAGTCATTCAACTGTAACTCTTGAGGAGGGGGCGGGGCATCTTTACTCAGCTGGGAAAAATGCTTTATAGTAAATAAAGTTTTTAGAAAGCTATCTTCATATCAAATACTATACAGTGTTTTATAGTAACCCCCGTTGTAAGCTGGTTTGCTGAAAGCTCTCACTCGAATGCATCTTCAGTAAATAACCTTTTGATACAGCTTATCCTTTTATTTTCAAGTCATATTACAAATTACATACAGTATTTTATTTTTTCTCTATTACTGAAGATGTTATATTAATCATGATGAACCATAAACCATAAGAAGCCAATCATATGGGAATAAAATACTGAATCGATAAATAAATAAACCTGACGAATGCAGCAACTCCTGATCAGCCCCCAGCCTGCTTACAAACTCAAGTGCCTTAGTTCTCAGTAGGCCTATAGCAAATCTGATTAGACCACTGTACAGTATTCAGTAAGTGTTGCTCATTTTATAAGATATTTTTTATGAATCATCCCCATTTCTTAAAACATAGATTTTTTATTTATTTTTTTTAGGATTTCTGATGACCAGAGCATCTCAGAGTCCCCAAAAAGCTAATTCAGATATACTGAAGTCTGATTTATCAAGGTTTTACTGTATTCTGTATACATACTGTAATTTTCCTATATAAAGGAAAGGTATAGTGTAATGAATAAAAAATAAATAAACAAAAAATCATCAGAATTTTTATACATACTGTACAGTAGAGTTAAATGAAGATTCCTTCAAGAATTAGCAAATGCCAACAAATGAACAATTGTGGTTTATTTACTCTTGTTTGGCCACATTAAGATGAGCAGAAAAAGGCTTGAAAAATGAAAATCTGTAGTTCTCTGTATAATCATGCCACTGTGGTGGGGAAAAAATCTTTAAAATTTGTACTACCATCATTATTCTATAATTGTACATATATCAGTATTTCAACAGGTTGAATTAACTTACAGTTGGGATAACAGTAATGAAGAATTGAGATCCATTAGTGTTTGGTCCTGCATTGGCCATGCTGAGTGTATATGGGCGGTCATGACGGAGCGCTGGGTGAAATTCATCTTCAAATTCTCCTCCCCAAATGCTCTCACCACCAACACCAGTCCCTGTTTGAGGAGTTGTCAAGTACTTAATTTCTACAATCAGTATATATCTATTATCTTTACTGCTTTTCTTGTTTTATATGGGGTGGATCCAGATGAGTAGCCAGGGGGTAAAGAAAACCATTCCTTGAGGGTTGGCCATCGGCTAACTTTGAACCATGGTTTAAGATGCAGTTTTATTTACCTAAGTACAGACCCATTGTATAGTACAATCCCTCCTCGACTTACGATGAGGTTCTGTCCCGATGACCAAGTAGTAAGTCGAAAAAGGTGGAAAATAATACAGTCAACCCTCACTTTACGCGGTCCCACATTCCGCGTTTCCACGTTTACGCAGTGCCCTGCCAGAACCCAGGATGCTCACATTCCGCGGTGGGTGTACCCCTTTACACGGGTGAAGTATAATTTTTTTATTTAGCTCATAAAATTCATACAAATTATCCGGCCAGAATATAATTTACATTGCTGGAATTCTTACAATTTGATGATCATTTTGAATATAAACATCATAGATTTTGCATTAGACATACAAATTTTAGATATAATGTTTACTCTTGAGTAAATATGTTATCTTTTGTGCAAAATATATGATATTTATATTCAAAATATTCCTGGTCTTACAAGGAATCCAGCAATGTCAATTATATTATCCTAACTTTAGTCTGATTTATTATTTATTACTAAAAAGGTAAACAGTCTGGTATTCCCACACATTTATCTAGTAGGGACGTTGGTGGGGGGTGGGGGGGAGGGAGGGAGGGACCGGCGACCGACCATCTGTTACCGTGTGAAGAATATTTTTTTTTTTATTAACTGAAGATTTTTATTTTAGCTCATAAAATTCATACAAATTACCCGGCCAGAATATAATTTACATTGCTGGAATTCTTACAATTTGATGATCATTTTGAATATAAACATCATATATTTTGCATTAGACATAAAATTTTTAGATATAATGTTAACTCTGAGTAAATATGTTATCTTTTGTGCAAAATATATGACGTTTATATTCAAAATATTCCTGGTCTTACAAGGAATCCAGCAATGTCAATTGTATTATCCTAACTTTAGTTTGAGGTATTATTTATTAAAATTTAGTAGTTTTCCCCAAAAATTTCTCAGAGAGGGAAGAGCCGGCAGTGTAGTGTGAGAAGAGGGGGAGGGAGTTGAGTCCATTATTTGAATGGACATTAACTTGGCGACTGTATTTCTCTTAAGTATTAATTGTGTGCATGTACCATCATAAAATTAAGATGTTATTTTTACTACAACATAGTTATGTGTCTTCAAAAAGTGGAGTTTGGGGGTCGGGCGGTTTCTATTGGAATTAATCCCATATGTTCTGTTGTTCACTTAACGAGGATTTCACTTAACACGGGACCCTCTGGGTTCTATTGACCAGCGTTAAGTGGGGTACAACTGTGTGTGTATATATATATATATATATATATATATATATATATATATATATATATATATATATATATATATATATATATATATATATATATATATATATATATATATATATATATATATATATATATATATATATATATATATATATATATATATATATATATATATAGCCTTTCTTTTACGATCATCACTGGGAATGTGATCACCAAAACGCTTCTTGGAGATATTCTTCTTTACCATATTCACAGTTAATACCACAAAATTGGAGAAATAGTAAGCAAAAATCGCGTTACAGCAAACAAGCGTTCGCGTTATACAAATATCGTTCCTCTATTCATAAATCGCGTTAGAGCCAATTCGCGTTGTCAAAACACGCGTTATATCAGAACTCACAGTGTATATATATATATATATATATATATATATATATATATATATATATATATATATATATATATATATATATATATATATATATATATATATATATATATATATATATATATATATATATATTTATAGGCTTTACTTAACAAGTACTGTATATGTTATGTTTCAATTATACAAAATATGTCAACTGTATTGCACTGATATGCAAGTTTTAACTTCAAAACACTGTACACTCATGGCCTTCCTTTAACACAGAAGGTCAAGTTTATATTCTTAAAAGCATTCAAAAACTACACCAAATAACTATGCTGCATACAGTTTGATTAGATGTGCTTTCCATTCCTACTGGGAATGTATAAAAACACACAAAACTTGGCTACTTACCCAATGGATCACCAGTCTGAATCATAAACTGTTTTATGATACGGTGGAATAAGTGACCATTATAGAAACCATTCTTTGCATGGACACAAAAGTTCTCTACAGTCTTGGGACATTCCTTTGGAAATAGCTTAAGGGTAATATCTCCAAGAGAAGTATGGAGCACTGCAGTTTCATACAGTCTCTGGCCACCTAGAAGATAAAAGCAAATGTTATTCAAGCAATTGTTTAAATAATTTTAAAGGCTGAATTTTTATTGAGTCAAGAGAAGTTTAGATTCACATTTAGTCAGGATTTTCAGTGGTTAAAACTTCACTAATAACTAGAGTCAGTTTTCAATCAAAGGAGAAGGTGCAATCAATAATGGACCAGATTCTTTCCTTTCTTTGGGGCAAGTATCTCACCAAGAATATAAGAGGATGGTCAGAATATTAGCATTTGAGTAACTCCTCTTATTTAAAGTTAAGGGTTTTGAAGCATAAAAGATTTTTCCAAGCCAGGAAAAGGGATAGTGTTTTCTTCACCACAAGACCTTAAGAATGCATTAATAGCATCTGTTCAGACCTGCTGAACTGAATAGATGCCTCAGGGTTTTAGATGGAGTTTGTGTCTCAACTAGTACAGGAGGTCCCCGGGTTACGAATGGTTTCCGTTCCTGAGGATGTTCTTAGGTCGGAAATGTACGTAAGTCAGAACACATGCTATTAACATATCGTACTTACAGAACAATGTTTAAAATCCCACTATATCAAAGCCTAAGTCCTTATATACATCTAAAATAACTTAATTTAAGAGAAAAGAAGAAATAGAATGACAAAATACAGTAAATGAGAGTAAAAAATAAATCAGGTACGGGTAAATAAAATACTGTAAATTTAAAGTTTAACCCCGTTCGCATCGGCGGGCGTTTGTAAGTCGGGGACCCCCCCTGTATTCTATCATAATGAGCCTTAGAACCCAGCTTTGAAAGGATTTAATATTAATTTAAAAGAATTTTTGGTTCCACTTTTCTTTCCATGAAACAGATGGTTAGCAGCAGGGATGGAGCTTCATGCTTTCTATAGATAAAGATTTAGCTGTACCTGTATTAGGAAACAGGGTTCAGGGATGGATCCTGGAATATAAATATACTGTATATATATATATATATATATATATATATATATATATATATATATATATATATATATATATATATATATATATATATATATATATATATATATATATATATATATATATATATATATATATATATATATATAATTAAAAGTTGTTAAAGGAGTCACACTCAAATATGTATTATTTCAACACTTTCTATACCTTCCTTCATGGCTTCATTTTCTATCGCATAGCAACGTGGACTAACACACCGTAACAAGCATTTTTCCCCTTTTCATGTTTTTATTCTATTAATGAATGACATTATTAAACTAAAACATATATAGTGTAAAAGAACACACAAAACTAACAATAATATGAAAGTGAAATTGGGTCCCATAATAGTCATGTTGGTGTTCTATAATCTACTACCCCCCATGACTACTGTATAATAAAGGTAATGAAGAGTAGTGAGAGTGAAGGGCATAGTTTACATTGTAAAACAATTTGTTCACAAATTTATGAAAGCATTTTCACTCCCCCTCAATGCTTTCTTAAAGAGGAAGATATTATTGATAAAGTTCACTAATTTTGTAATTTACATGATGTCCTGAATGGCAGAATCATGTTAACTTCAAGTAACAGGTTCTAGGTTGAGACAGGCACAACAAAGTCACCCAACATACCTCATAGTGGAGGCATAAAAATTGAAAGTAATGATCTAAATAGTGACATTAATAATCCTGTAAATACTTTTCACAAGAGGTTATAAAATGAATCATTTTACATTAATATTAATCTAACTATACTTGTGATGGGTTTTACAAAATGTTTATAACAAGTGAGATCTTACCTCCCTGTTCAGTAGCAGCAATTATATCTTCCTTTGATGGTTTTTCATTGAAGACATCACGATCAGTATCAACACTTTTTGTGTCTGTCGCATCACGACGTGTAAATAGATAAAAACGGTTTTTACGGAAAGCTGTAGCCACAAGAGTGGGGTCAGCACGTGCTGAGTCAAGGGCTGGATTTTCTGAGGCTTCCATCTCCATTGTTATTGCTCCCTTATTCTTCTTCACCTTGCCCTATAAGTAAAACCAGTTATGAAGGACTGTATGTGCCGAATTATATGGAATTCTAATATATCGAATGCCGAGTTATCAATGGTTTACTGTACCCCTAATTACATTAATTCTTATGGGAAAAAATTGCTCATTATAAAACATTTCACTTTAAGTTGTGTGTCTCTGGAACACATCCCTGATGTATAGTGAAGGTCACAGGGTACAAGGGTAATGGCTGGGTGACCCCCTATGACAATTGTTCACTGTGCCAGCAAAAAAAAAAAGTCACCACCTCCCATGGGAGGACATTCATGCACAGTATGGGAGAAAAATAAACTGATAAAAATATATATTAATTACCTGGAAGAGAGCAAGATTCAGCAACCTTAAATTTTCAGGCTTGCCAATTGTCCTCACTAATCGATTATTATAAAGGTTTACAATTTTGACCCCAAGCATGGTTGCATAAAGGAGAAAGTAACCACTTTCATCATATACCAAGTTGCACACAGCTAAGGCTCCACCTTTCTCCACATCACGTTCCACTGCAAGTCTGGAAAATAAAATTTTAAAACTATTCTATGCACGATTTACTGTAATGTGAATACCAAATTTGTATTCAAAACTCAATAAAATATTCAAAATATATATCCAGGGAGGAATCACAGTACGTACAGCAATGTAAATACTGTAATGTTAATTAATGAAGATAACAACATACCTTCTTCCAAATTCCATATTTGGGATTTGTTGCTTTCGTTGTTGCAATTCAGTATAATGTTGAAGGCTCTCATCAAACACCCGAGTGAGTTTTCCAGTGAGAAATTTAAACACACGAACCTGGAAATTAAAAAAAAATGGGAACTAAGGACAGTGAGAAATTTTTTTTTTCATCGTCCAGAGAATGTCTCCTGCTCAAAAAGATTACTACGTATTAATACAGGACAGTAGGGGAAATGACGGAGTTTTGAAATTTATGCATGGGGCTTCATTACAGAACAATTACTAGGTCTTCTTCCTGCACATGCAAGTAATGGTGAGTACTGTACTGTACAACATGGTGAAACACGTTCAGTTAGCACAGGTCAAATATGCCCTGGACACCTAAAACAAAATTTTGGTTCAGTAACTGGAGAGACATCTCATTTGGTGGATTTTAACCCCCATAGCTCCCATAGAAGACAAAAATGGATTAAAATTGCCTTGGTGGTTTCCACTAGTGGGTGATAATGGCAGAATATAAACTCATCCATTAGTAGAAGGGATCCACTAAACAGAAGGTCACCTCTGGGATTTAACTAGGTACAGGTACTATATTACAGGAGAAATAAAATACAGTAAACCCTCGCTTTACGCGTTTCCACGTTTATGCGGTACCCTGCCGAACACGGAATGCTCACTTTCCGCGGTGTGTGTACCCTTTTACGCGGAGAGCGGCTGGCGGTCCTCTCGCCATCTCTCCCGCCATCCGCCATGTTGTGTAAGCGGCGCGAGTAGGTTGCGCAGTGTATGTCTTTGTTGCGTTATCGGTGACGTCATATGACGTATCGGACTGTGATTGGGCCAAGCATGCTTACCTCCCTCCCCGCTAGCTGTGATTGGTTTAATGTACTATGACGTGCCCCGCCGCGGGAGCGTTCAAGCCCCTTGACCTACCAGCGTCAGTTACACCCCTCCCGGCTACACTGTGTATATCGGTATCCATTGTTCCATAAGAATGGCTTCCACCGAACCACCACCACAAAGAAACCTTGCATTACCTGGACCCAGCCGCCCTAAGCCAAAGAAGACACGACGTTCCTTAAGCTACGAAATTAAATATAAGATCATACAAGAGTTGGAGAAAGGAACAAGACAGGTTGATCTCGCGCGCCAGCATGGTGTTAACGAGTCTACGATCAGGACAATTAAGAAGGATGCAGCCAAGATAAAGGAGCACATGAACATCACAAAGTCTACAGGTGCTTCTATGATCAAGTATTGCCACAACCAGGTGCTTCTCAAGACGGAAAAATTACTTGTGAGCTACTTGGTTCGTCAGGCGCGACGGAACATGGCGGTGGACACGCGCTCAGTTAAGGAGTACGCACGTGAACTGTATGCTGCAGTGTCACGAAAGATGGGAATTACAGAGCCCAAACCCTTTAATGCTTCCTCTGGGTGGTTACAGAGGTTTAAGAAGAGGAACAAGATCACCAATATCAACATTGGTGGTGAAGAAGCTAGTGCTGACCGTGTTGCGGCTAGGGAATTTCCTCCGTTTTTACGTGAGATTATGGAGGAAGGACAGTACACCGACGACCAGGTGTTTAACATGGACGAATCTGGTCTTTTTTGGAAAAAGCTACCTTCCAAGACCTTCGTTGTGAAGAATGCCAGCAAGTGTCGGGGCCGGAAGTTGCAGAAGGAGCGCATCACCGTCCTGTTTACCACCAATGCCTCCGGTACCTGTAAGCTCAAGTTATCGGTGATCCACACAGCACGCAAGCCGCACGCCTACAAGAGCATGGACATGACCAAGCTAAATGTCCACTGGTTGACCGCACGTAAGGCGTGGATGTTCTCTACTCTGTCCCTCTCCTGGTTTGATGACTGTTTCGTTCCTGACGTTAAGAAATTCTGTGAGCAACACAATGTTCCATTCAAGATTTTGTTGCTGCTTGACAACGCACTAGGACACTCGCCCTTACTGTTAGATCATCACCCCAACGTAAAAGTGGTCTTCCTTCCTCCCAACACTACGTCTATAATACAGCCCATGGACCAAGAATTGATCTGTAATGTGAAAGCTGCATTCTCTGCCAAGAAATTCAAGCTCCTGAACGACTACACCAACACCAAGGAAGAGTTGCGTAACCTGAGTGACACCGACACCAAGAGCAAAGACGACGAGGAACAACAGTTGGCATAGCAAGAAGTACTTGTGAGACAATTTTGGAGAACATTCAACGTCAAGAAAGCCGTAGACTTCTTGGTGGAGGCATGGGATCAGCTGTCTGTAGCAACTGTTCGTCACGCATGGAGACATGTGTTGCAAGGTATTCCGGGTGGGAGGCAGAGTATATCTGTGACTGGTGAGGTTCAGACTGTTGCAGTAGCAGTGGACCTTGCCAGAGAAGCTGCGCTGAGTGTTACAGCTGCAGGTTTCTCCGAGACCACCAACGACGACATCCTGGAGGTAATAAGGGATCCTGATGTGACTACCGACGAGATGGTAGATGATGATGACGTCAGTGAAGAGGCAGGTGGTGCGTCATCCCAAGAAGAACGCAAGTTATCCCATAGTAATGTAAGGGGTGCCATCGAGTGTATTGAGAAAGTCAAGCTCCTCCTTTCCGACGACCCTGACGCTAACAGGTATGAAATCTTCACTACCCAGCTGTTGCAGACTATGGAGCCCTACATCAAGGTGTATCACGACAACATAAACACCAGCCGTCAGCAAAGCATAACCGAGTTCTTCGCCCGCAACCCACCACAGCCAGCCCAAGCCAGTGATAGTGACAGAGACAGTGATGATGACTTTGAGGGATTTGTCAGGGAGGCACTAGTAAGTGTGGATGACAGTGATGAAGACTCACCTGAGGACCAGTAGCCTGCCCTCTGCCTCAGAACCAGCCTCCATTCCCATACGCCGACCCATCTCTTCTACTAACATAAGTGTTAACCCTAACCTTGTTTTTTTCTAACTTAACCTTCAGTATATTATTCTCTTATTGATTGTTCCCTTCTATATTATGTGTGTGTGAATACCATCACAAAGTTAAGATGTTATTTTTAGTAAAACGTACGTATTGTGTCGGGAAAAAGTGGAGTTTGGGGGTTGGCCTGGTCTCTATTTCAATTAATCCCATATGTTATGTTGTTCACTTTACACGTTTCTCACTTTACGCGGGCCGCCATGGGTTCAATTGACCGCGTAAAGTGAGGGTTCACTGTAGTGTATTTTTCACTTCTATGCAAAATCTGTTAGATCCTAAAAAAAAAATCTAAACCTAAAAAAAAAAAAATTGGGTGCAGTAGTGAGCCCTATGCTTGCCCTTGCTATGACTTACTGGCAAATATTTTTCCCTAAATGTTTGGATTTTTCCTGCCCAAATGGTTTATTTTGCCCTACAAGGGGAAATGTTTTCCCTATAGTACTGTACCCTGTACTGTACTGTACAGTACTTGTGGAGCAATGCTGGGGATGTTTTCTTTTCTTAGTTCACACAGATTGCCTGCCCCTTGGACAAAAATTATCTACTGTTTAGCTTACAATGCACAATTAAATCAACAACAATGATATACAGTCATCAGTTCTGTTAAGAAATTTAAAGCATCACAATGATGATAAATGATATATCAAATATCACTTATTATTACTCACTATTACATGTTACACTATTATGAAGGTATGATACCTTGCACAACTAAGAAAATTCCTGACTCACAGGGAAAAACCAAATTCCTAATTCTGAATATTAAAATGTGTCTGACAATTTGTGGGAGAGAATATGAACTAACAAAATTTTTACTACATACAATGGCCATAAATCATCGATAATGAATAAATAACAGTGGAACAATAAATTTTCACTAAACTTGCTTTATTATCAACCAATCAACTTACCTTTTTATCGGCACCAATGGTAGCAAACTGTAATCCATTTGGTGAGATGGCCATACATCTGGGGACTGTCTTGTGCTTGACAAATTCAAACAGATCTGTATCAAGCTTAGACTTGAAGTTAACACAATTTGGTGTCTGGAATTCATTCTTGGTCCCACACCAATACTCAATCATACCAATTTCGTCAACAGAGATGACAATATCATAGGATACATTGTACTGGAAAAGAAGAAGTTTTCAATGCCGAGCACTGCACTGAAACAAAGTACATTACACGTACAGTATATGTTTGAAATATACTGTATACAGTACATATTTGTATTAAAAAAGTGTATACCTGTATGTTTTAAATATAGCCTCTAAACAAGTAATGTGTAAGAAATTACATTACTGAAAGAAAATCTGAGCGAACATTGAGGGTCATGCACTACAACTCATGACGTGCAGCCGAGGCAGTGGTAAAGAGGTTAAAATTATACACTTGTAATTTCCTAACCACTATTTAACTAACTTTGATATAAGAGTTCAATCAAATGACAAAGATCAACAGAGACTAGTATTTCCATGCTAACCTGGCCCATAAGCCACGCCCCTCTTCTACAGTATACTAATGGCTGATTGGTTCATAGAAAATTCGAACTAAATGTGTTCACAATTGGTAAGCAGACCTATTATTATCGGAAATAATTTTAAATATCTGAACTCTCAAAATGCAGATGATTTCAAGGCATTAGCATTTCAGAGAGGATGTTAGAAAATTTTTAATATTTATCATAAAAGGTTGATATAAATGCACCCTTAAATCCCTTATACATGCACAGTCGGGGGCTAAATGCTCAGGGGAACCAATCGGCAATTTGTAGCTATAGATGAAGGGTGTGGCTTACGGGCCAGCTTAGCATGGAAAGGTTATACTGTAGTTGATTTCTCTCATAAATCAAGAAAAAATAACAGAAACCAAACAAATGTCATGAAAGAATCACCATACCTTTATGATTGTAACAGGTTTGGTATGGATTGAACTCAAGATGTGCAGAGGTGTATTTGTACCATGGCCATCAAAGATGTATATTTTGGGACTTGTAGAGTCTGACACAGCCAGTGAGTGTTGTGGGTCCGATAGTGGATGGATCCACTCACTTGTGCTTGGGGTGAAGTTCAACTTCATCATGTTAATCATGTCTGCAGTAATTTAAGGGGAATAATAAAATGAAATGGCTACAGAGCAAAATCAGTAATGAATTATATCTCCAACACAGGTACAGTACAGTATTTCAAAATGCATCTTAAAAATACATTAAGGAAATATGGCAATATTACAACACACATTTATCCATACCAAAGTGTCACCCCAAAACACTTGACTACTAATTGTTTTCCTACTTCTCTTCAATCTACAGAAAGTCCATTATAGACATACAACACACACAGTATATCTGAGGCTAATACTGTACAGCATAACACCAGAGAAAAGTGTAAGATGCTGAAAACAATGTTGAAGGGCAATATGCTTTCTATGTGGTTACACATCATCTATGCCTATTATATTACTGTACTGTATGTTGATACAGAAAGCTTTTGTAATGGAAGGACTACACAAGATAAATTTATTCAATCAATAAAAATCTATGGTTAATCATAATACAGTACCAAATCCTTACCAAAGTTTTCCACATCAAAGACTTTCAGTGATTTGTCATGTGATATAGAAACAAGCCTGGTGCCTGCAGTATTGGCAGCAAGGTGCTGTACATTCCCTAAATGTGCACGAAAATGTTTGACAAATTCCACACCCTCCTCTTGCTTCTTCCAGAATTTGATGTGACCATCAGAGCTGCCTGTTATGATGAAGTCAGTTCTGCCAAAGGAAATAGATTTTAGCATCAGTACAGTACAATATATTACTTGGCTTCCCAGGAATTATCTACAAGCACTGTGTAAAAAAATTGCAATCTTTTATAAATATTTGTATATTTAGCAAAATACTGGACACTCAGATATTTTAATCTTGGTACTATGACACAAACAAATGGGTAATACTACATGACTTTTGTGCACCTAGCTTCCTGTTATCAACTACAATTGTATTAGACAACTTCTTCCAAACTCAAGAAAACCACAAATGCTTACAGTGACCTTTCCATACATAAAAATGCTTACATGGCAGCTACATTACAGTAATGTACAGTACAGTATACTGTACAGTATACTGTACTGTATTACATCATTGTTATGTTAGGTAAGTTAGGTTGGTTCATCTTATACTGTACTGGTATCTTATAAAAGACTATACTGTAATGCCATATAATGTAGCAGTCGCTGGATATGTCAACAACAGATCAAGCACAAAAATGATGTCAGATGGATGCAGATTATTTTCAAGAAGAAAAATTCTCCCCAAACAAAAATATATGTACAGTACAGTAAACCCATTAAAATTCCCTCTCTTGATTTGCAGTTTTCTTCAGGAAGGGAAGAAGTTGTCTTTCATACAATATTAGTCAATAATAGGTAAGACTCATTAGGTATTACACCAAAACACAGCACTTGCTTTGCTCTAGAAGAATAATGATGTGTAATAAATCTTCTCTGAACTACAACTACACATATACTGCAAATACAGTACAGCACTCACTTCGTTACGACAACATGCATGACAGTGTCACGATGCATGTAACTCTTCTCGTAGTATTCAGCACAAGGCAAGTAGTCCAGGTACATCTGTTCATGTTTCAGTACTGTTTTTTAATAAAAAGATATATTATTACACTGTAATCTACATTAAAAATATTGCAACATCATCAATATGCCCACTATGAATGCCACACAGAACATCCCTAAGAATGACTGGGTTATCCAGCTACTTTACAAAATAATCTCTGTTAAAGAAGACTTACCCCCAGTATGTATTTCTTACCTCTAGAATAACCCAAATCAGGTAGAGGAACTGCAATTTTTGTAATTTGCCTCTTTTCTCATTTTTTTTACAGTGAATAAAGGTGTGCTGCACCATCAAACAATAAAAACACCACCTTTGTGATTCAACTGCTTACTTACATGAGAACAAATGTTTAATAGACATTAACAATACCCCTGTTTCATTCTCACTAAGCAACAGTTAATTTAGATTTTTTTTGTAAAGATGATGATAGATTGTCTGACATTAAGAATAATTATTCCCCCCAAAAGAACAAGCATTTGCAATTTGTATAATACAGTACAGTATTAGTTTGGCAATACAGTGACCCCTCGTTTAACGAACGCCTCGGTTAACGAAATTTCGGTTAACGAACTGCCTTCCATAAGGATCTTCAATTCGGTTAACGAACAAAAATTCGGTTAACGAATTTCTTACGAACCGACCTCAACATGTTTTCGCTTGCACTGACCGGGCAACCAGCTTTAGTATCAGTCCGCCAATACATTAATCGGTTCTAGGGCTTAAATTCCTTACTATTTTTAAATATCAAGAAGTTTATACTATTCAATAATTTTAAAAGTTTAATATTCAACTAGTCATTTTAACAATTATTGAACATAATTGAAGGTAAAGTGACTAGTTTAATGCGCGGCATCCAGCCTCTTAACACAGCAAACAGGCGTTAGTCTCTTTGTTTTCACTGGAAGTAACATCTTGCTTGAGACTCTCTTCAACTAAACGCTTTTTTTCTGTTTCCAAGCAAATTATTGGTTTTTGAAATATATTTTACATATTGACAATATATAATGCAGTGCAGTGTTGATTTAAAGAAAATAATCTTGAATTACACCAAGAGAGCTAAAATTTTATGGGTGAATGGCACCATGGGAGACTTCCCTTCCACCCCAATGCCTTCTCTTCTTCCTTCTCCTCCACCCCCATTCTAAATCCCATCATCATCATCCAGCCATAATACACAACAAAAATTTTTAAAATTTTCTAATTTGGAATTTAGGAAATTTTCGGTGAGCTGGAACCAATTACCCAAAAACCCATTGAAACAATGGTTTCGGTTAATGAACTTTTCGGTTAACGAACGACCTTCTGGAACGGATTGAGTTCGTTAACCGAGGGGTCACTGTACACACAAACACTTCTCAGTATCAACCTTTCCATTGGATAGGAACACCTGTACAGTACTGTATAGGTACAATAGTTTAAGTTAGGTTAGGTAGGTTATGTTTGGTGGCAACTTGCAACTGATAGTTTATATGAAAAGGCTGCTGGGAAAAGTTCCATTGGTTGTTGGAAAGCATTTGCAAAGTTGAATTGCAAACATGGCATCTTTGTAGGGTGGACAGGCATAGAGCATCTTCATTTACAAGAAAAAAACAAGATAAACCAAAACACAAAATAAGTAATTCCTCCACCCAATTCGGGTTATTCTTCATAAAAGAAATGTGATATTGTACTGTATTGAAATTTTTTGTTAGGTAGCTGCTTAATCCAGCCATCTCTCCAAGACTATAAATGTGCCTATTATCAAAATATGTACTATATGATAATGACGGTGCAACAAGAATAACTACAACTGACAGAGTGCCCTGGAACAATATATTGTTTTTTATGGTGGAATGATTAAATTTCTATGTATGGACAATGGAGTAAATAGCTAATGTAACTTGTACTGTGCTGATTCAGAAAAGATTTATCTGATATAAAGGACAATTTGAGCCATATAACTGAATAAAAGTACTTAAGAGCCATGGCAAATATGTACACTGTGCATCAAATGAAGTGTTGTCTGTAAATGCCAGTCTGTGAGAAAACAGCATTAAATCAATTATGATAGATGACAGGGTAATATTTGTGATGTTCTCAACATTATAGTAAGTATTTTAAAAGAGGCAGCATTTACTAAAACCTGACCTAACCAACCAAAGAAACCTACCTAACCTTACCTAACTTCCTAGCCGGGGGGAGCTACGAATTACCCAAAAGTACCCAAATGTACCCAAAAGTACCCAAAAGTATAGCAAATAAGGGTAAAAACTTAACAAATATCTGTTACACATACACAAAACATGTTTAATAATATTTTTAGTGTAATTTTGTAAAAATAATTTGTATGATGAAATAATAAACAGCGAAAAACTTTCAGTATTGGCGAACGCTAAATTCCAAAGAGTTCGTGAACAAGGGAGATGACTCAGATCCATCGTGATGCACTTCGCTAACCTAACCTACCGAATAGTAAATCCTACGGCTATGTTAAATACCCCAAAGTAACAGAAACATCGGTAATTATATCTCCATTTTGGATGGGTGCCTCTTTGGAATTTAGCATTTTTCACTGTTTATTATTTCATTATTTTGACTACATTTCAATGAAAACATTATTAATCAGGTTTTATTGATGTAAAACATATATTCGTTAAGATTTTACCCTGATTTAATATACTTTTGGGTACTTTTGGGTGCAGTTGGGTACTTCTGGGTAATTCGTTGTACCGTAGCTGGGGGGCTCCGCCCCTGGACCCTCCACCATATTAAGCAGAAAGTACATAGATTTATTTTGATATCTGGTACCAATGAAAGTAACTTTGTTGAAGCATCATGGTGTAATTTCACGTTTTTTTTTTTTGTGGACGTGAGAGTACGCTCAGACCGAGTGGGTTGGTTGTTAACAAACAGACAACACGTGGTGAACTGCAGATTTTTGTTAATTTCTTACGTGAATTTACTTTCTCAGTTAATATCCATTTGAGACGGAAGTGGTATTAGAAAAAGTTGTTTCTATTGACAAGATGTAACTAATGGTAAACACAAAAATGCTCTGAGTTGTGGCTGAAACTGTAATAATACTATTAGAATGAATCCTGGACAAACGGTGGAAGTAAGTGAAGGTCCGTGACTGAAAAATAAGGGCTACTATTTCGGCTGCATGTTAGTCATCAATAATTACCAAAATAAGTACTGTACATTTTTTTTTTCATTTTACGGGGAAGAGCCCACCCCAGCACAGGTCATCGACCCAAATTTTGGTTTTGGGATATCCTCATGGACTTTTATCTCGAGTATTACTCATAAACTACCGTAATTAATAACCTAACCTTACGAAATACTCAACCACTTTAATAACATACTGAATTTTTGGCAGTAGTACCCAAAAATAAGTACTGTTGTTAAATAGAGACAAGTAAGGGTAAATAGGTTTAAGGGGATAATTGAGGTCAATTATTCACTTCGTTAATATGTTAACCATTAATAACACTTGCCTTTAATTTTCTTGGGTTTAGGTGTGACAGCAGCCTCGTCTGGTCTTGGTCCGATCCATTCATCCTCACTTTCTTCTTCCTCCTCATCCTCCTCTTTAAGCTTGCGTTTGGGGTCGGTGTTGTTCATCTCTTGTTGTTACGTTAGCAGCAGTGTTTTATTAACAAGGTAAAGGCCGCCACTCGTGCGTCAGGCAGGGTGATGCTCCCAACACTGATTATTGTCATTGGTACTAAATATTGTAGGTGAATATGTTAATGCACAGCTAGATTGATCTGCGTCTAATAAATACTCTTGTTCTGAGTATAGATCGATAAGATTGGCAATGTAATTTTCTTATCTACATAAGGAGGAAATAAATTAATCTATAGTAGAGTTGTGTATCTTTCCGTCCCAAAGACTATAGAGGAGGATAGTGAACTCTCCATAAAACTTATTATTTTGTGTTACCGATGGACGCGCCATCTGTGGAGGGCTCGATATTATAGAGAACGGAGAAGTAATATAGGGGTGACGGGGCAAGTGTATAACTGAGCTACCATAGACAATAGTTGTATACAGTATAATGAATATCTAATTTATTTTGTTTTCACTTGTGCGTTGATAAACAAATAACATAAAACAATAAACAGTGCACACACACACACACATATATATATATATATATATATATCTTGATAAAATCACACGGGAAAATGGGAACAACGGAGCACCTTAGCTTTCGTCTTGAATAAAGACGAAAGCTAAGGTGCTCCGTTGTTCCCATTTTCCCGTGTGATTTTATCAAGATTTATCTTATCCACGTTTCATTGTGGATTTACATGAAATATATATATATATATATATATATATATATATATATATATATATATATATATATATATATATATATATATGCAAGTAAATCACTGTAGGTGCGCGTGATCTAGGTCTAATTCACATCTTCAGGGGTGAGTACAGACTGCACAGTCTGTACTCACCCCTGAAGATGTGAATTACATGAAAGCGCTTGGGAACTTCGTGTTTTCTTCTTTCCTTGTGGTTATCAGCATATACCTAGATCACGCGCACCTACAGTGATTTACTTGCTCTCTCTACATCACGCTTGTAACCATGCTGTCTTCCCAGCACCAAGCTGCATTGTACATCCAATACAACACGTATACAGAGAGCACATCGTGATTTTTGAGTCTTGAACCAAACATCTCGTACCCCACAAATGGTGACCCCCGGAGTGACGCACTCACAGGATGGAGGAAAAAGAACTCAAACAACCCATACCCCACAAATGGTGACTCCCAGAAGATTCGCAGTCACACAGGATGGAGGAGAAACCAATCACTCTCCCAGTCTTCAAGCAACATGGAAGACTGGCTTATCCACGCAGAGGCAGCTCTCATCGGCTCTACAGCTACTGTCTCTACACCGCAGGTTAGACACCCTAGAGTAGCACTGCTTCTCTAAGCAGACACCAGCTCCTCTTCCTGCCCCAAGCACCACGTCCTACCGACCCCAGCACACCCGTCCTGCCTCAGACGCCGCCCCCGGCCCAACAGTACCCCCTGCCGCTTCTCCTGATGCAGTCCCTGCTCCCGATGCGGCCCATGCGCCTGAGTGCAGACCAACACACCCGTCCTGCCTCAGACGCCGCCCCCGGCCCAACAGTACCCCCTGCCGCTTCTCCTGATGCAGTCCCTGCTCCCGATGCGGCCCATGCGCCTGAGTGCAGACCAACACACCCCTCTTTTCTCCCTCAGGTACTCCCTGCTACTGTCCTGCACCCTGCTACTGTCGTGGACCCAGCTGCTGTCACGAGCCCTCATCCGCTTCTGCTGACGCAGCCCCTGCTCCTGACCCAGGCCCACACACCGCAGCAGGCGCATCTGAGGACTCTGTACCTGTCGCGAGGAAAACACAACATTCATCACCTCCACAACCCTCTTTCTCCCTCTCTTCTCCCACAGATCTTGTGTGTCTAGACAGTTGCCTCCACTAGCGGCCGGCTCATCCACGCCCTCACCGTTATGGCTCACATGTGGCATGCACCGCCCATTCTGCCTCACATGTGCCATGCAACCCTTCAGACAACAAGTCTCCTACACCACCTGGAGGGAAGGAGGGAGTATTGTAGTGGATTTCTCCCCTACAAACGCTGTTTGTCGCTATGTAGCCGATCCCGCGAATTCCCCAGTGTATGCCTCATGGTCTAGGTCAACCAGCCCCGCCCACGGAGCAGGGGTTAACTATCTACCCACGCCTACCTCCGCTATAAAAGACCTGACCTCGTGTGACCACCCTCTTTTCTACCTACACCAACCAGCCAGCAACACCTCCTCCTCCTCCGCCTGCCTGGAGGTCCTCGCTCCCGCCGGCGAGCATGGCGACCCACAAGCTGTCCTCCTCTGAGCACCCTCACCAATCAGCTCTCTCTACATCACGCTTGTAACCATGCTGCCTTCCCAGCACTAAGCTGCATTGTACATCCAATACAACATGTATACAGAGAGCTCATCGTGATTTTTGAGTCTTGAACCAAACATCCCATACCCCACAGTACATCCAATACAACATGTATACAGAGAGCACATTGTGAGTTTCCTTTCTCCATCCCATCCTGAGTGTGAACCAAACAACCTGTTCCCCACAAATGGTGACCCCCGGAGATTCGCACTCACACAGGATGGAGGAGAAACCAATCACTCTTCCAGTCTTCAAGCAACATGGAAGACTGGCTTATCCACCCAGAAGCAGCTCTCATCGGCTCTACAACTACTGTCTCTACACCGCAGGTTAGACACCCTAGAGCAGCTCTGCGACTCTAAGCAGACAGCCGATCCTCTTCCTGCCCCAAGCACCACGTCCTACCGACCCCAACACACCCTCCTGCCTCAGATGCCGCCCCGGCCCAGCAGTACCCCCTGCCGCTCCTCCTGACGCGGACCCACACGCCCCTCTTTTCTCCCTCAGGTACCCCCCTGCTACTGTCCTGCACCCTGCTGCTGTTGTGGACCCAGCTGCTGTCACGAGTCCTCATCCGCTTCTGCTGACGCAGCCCCTGCTCCTGACCCAGGCCCACACACCCCAGCAGGCGCACCTGACGACTCTGTACCTGCCGTGAGGGAAGCACAACATTCATCGCCTCCACACACCCCTTTTCTCCTTCTACTCCCAGATATTGTATCTCTAGACAGTTGTCTCCTCTAGCGGCCGGCTCATCCACGCCCTCGCCGTTATCGCTCACATGTGGCATGCACCGCCCGTTCTGCCTCACATGTGCCATGCAACCCTGCAGACAACAAGTCTCCTACACCGCCTGGAGGGAAGAGGGGAGTACTGAAGTGGATTTCTCCCCTACAAATGCTTGTCGCTGAGTAGCCGACCCCGCGAATTCCCCAGTGTATGCCTCGTGGTCTAGGTCAACCAGCGCCGCCTTACATGATGGAGGTCAACTACTAAGCCACGCCTACCTCTGCTATTTAAGACCTGACCTCGTGGTGACCCCTCTCTTCTTCTAGCTACAGCCACAGCAAGCTACACCACCTTCTCCGCCGCTGCCTGGCGGCCCTCGCTCCCGCCGGCGAGCATGGCGACCCACAAGCTGTCCTCTGAGCACCCTCACCAACCAGCTCTCTCTCCATCACGCTTGTAACCATGCTGCTTTCCCAGCACCAAGCTGCATTGTACATCCAATACAATATGTATACAGAGAGCACATTGTGAGTTTCCTTTCATCATCCCATCCTGAGTGTGAACCAAACAACCTGTTCCCCACACGTATGCCAAAAAAAAAAAAAAAAAAAACTTGTGTAAACCAGGCCTTACATTGGAAGATGAGAGCTGCAGCTAGCACGCCGTTTGAAATATTACTGTAAGGTATCGTAATTTTTCATTTGCGAATAAGCAGGGTATGCTTTGCAAATAATGAATAGGGTGTTAAAATATAAATTGCGGATAAGCGGGGTTGTGAATAGCTAGGTATTCCTGTATCAGTATTTGAAAATGAATTGCCTGATTTTATTTATTTTTTAATACAGTAATTCTTTATATCATAGATAATGAACAAACCAATGTCGAGTTCTTTCATCAAACCATTTCAATCTTCACCTTTTTTTCAATGTATTACAAATGTTTAGAGTTTTTTCTTACTCTAACAAATAGATTAGTGTAAAAGATATTGGAATCTTGTAAGCACTTTCCATAAATGCCATGGAAGACTACAAGTTCTGTTTACCACCAAAGCTTGAACATTCCACAACATTCCAGGTATAGTAGGTACGGTGTCTTCAAGGTTACAGTAATTTGTTTTGGAATGTCCTTGATAATTATGGTTTCTTGAATTCATGTACTGTACCTGTTTTATGTGTGAGGGAATGGAGCGCTGCTGTCAAGTGATTTTTTAAAGAGGTCATACAGTACTGACTAATGTGAAACAACAGGGGTTAACCAGATTTGCTGTCTTGTGGAAGGGGAGTACCAAAACAAACCAAATCTACCACAGCAATTAGAATGAACAAGTGAAAGGAAGGTATGTGTGTTTATTTGTTCTTGATTCTGACCAGACAGTAATGCACAGGTAAAAGATTGGACAAAACACATAAAACAAGAGAGAACTTAGTGTGACTCTAGTATTTAATGAAACAGAATGCACAAGGTTCACTGAACACTAAACCTCATTACCCACACACATCTTAACAAACAATTCCGAGCTGAAAAACTCATGTGATGATTGATAGAACATGTAATAAATTCAAAACAGAAATAAAATAAAAAATGCTGAGAGAACAAACAAGTGTCTTTGTTAAATCTGTTCACTGGAGCATCCCCTTGCCAAAGACTAAAGGTATTTAAAGCAGGATAATTTGAGCTGATTGAGGTTATATAACAAGAAAATATCCAGGAATGGAGTTCCCAAAGTACTAATCTAGGGTACAGGTACAAGCGAGTTTTCACAGGAGAGGTTCTGCAGAATAACTGAAGGTGGCAATAATTAGTGTAGATAATTAGAACACTGACTGTGGAAAAATTTATAAAATAGGGAAGCAATAAGGCATTCCTGTGAATGTGCATTAATGGAGCTTTTCTGGTGAGGTGGTTATTACTGAATTGTTTTGATGCCTTTTTTTTCACCAAATCAAGGAAGCAAAGTTCCCAACACCACACACAGCATACAGATGAGAACAGTACAGTATTCCATCTGAGTGTGCACATGACTTACATAATTGTGTCACAGTAAAGTAGGGAGTGGTTCTGAACACGAGTCTAAGCCTTACTTATTGAAGCAGTTTTGGCTTAAGTTCTGGCAAAAATTTAAAGTAAAGGTGATGCTAAAAATATCAATGCTGTGTGATAATGGAATTATAATGTTAAAATTTATGCTGAATTGTGAAATATCATGCCCTTATGTATTTTCCTTTAGTTACATTCCAGAAAACAAAGTTGTATGCACCTCATTCAGCTATGTGAGCAAGATGTTCCTGTAGAGATGTGTATGTTGTCTAGCATTCAATATTTCATCTCATGACTGGGGCAAAGTAAAGGATCTATGGAGGGTTGAGTCTTCTGCATAGATGTGAAGAAAGTTAGCTGTCAGTGAAAGATCATTTCGTACTGCGTAATAAGAATTAGTACCAGTATGGAATCCCGCGGAACTCTTGACATTGATAGAGTGATAGATAAAAGACCATCCAAAACTATGAACACTACAACCAGATAGAAAAAAAAGAAATTACAGTACAGTGGACTTCAGAACACCGGAATTCGCTTTTTCACTCTGAGGTGCTCTGGACTGCCCCTCTATTCACCAGAAGTATATGTCCGGAAAATCCAACATCAGTCAGGACAGTTTGTGTTCATAGATGCAGTCGAATGTCTGTGCGTGGGTGTCGCATGGCACATGTCTGAATTTTGCCTTCATATGTAAGGCATCATTGTGCCTCACCTCACTACCTACATTCATTTATGTGAACTTTTTATCTTGAATATGTACAGTATTGTTTTTAACGGGGATACTTGAGGATTTTACAAAATAGGCAAAATTATGTAAAAACTCATTTCAAGAAATTAGTAAAAAAAAAAAAATTCCTATGAAAAGAACAACATTTTTCAACTGAATTCTGTACAGTGGTCTAATCAGATAAGCTGTAGGCCTAATAATAGTTAATAAGTACAAGAGCAATGACACTATGTAAAGAGGCTGGAGCATTGCCACATTTGCCAGGTTTATCGATTCAATATTATATTCATGTAATGTATAATCAGCCTCTTATAGAAAAATACAATCCAGTATATAAATATAATTTGTAATTTGACTTGAAAATCAAAAAGTACAAGCTGTATCAGAAGGTATTCACTGAGGATGCATTCATGAGAGCTTTCAACAGGATCATTATAACATACTCTGTCCTGTATAGTATTTCATATGGAGATACCTTCAAGAGTATTATTTATTACTTTAAAGTGATACATGATGGCTTGATTTGGCTACTTGTGCACTTAGACAAGTGATTAATGAATAAACGAGGGAATATGCAGATGCATAAAACACTTTAATATTATTTACTAAGTGCCGAAGACATGTTATAGTCAATAACAGAATGAGAGAATGATCAGCCACCCACCCACCGGTGCCTGTTGCTCCCAGATATCTACATGCACCTCCCAGTTTTTCTTTATTCATAATGCACTCACAAATTTAAATGGCTTTTCTGCAAATTCTGTGGTGACCAGTACTTTACAGTACGAAACAGAAATATCAGTGAAAACAGTTGTCGACAACCAGACTTATATCTGATTTTCTTGAAATATTCAGAGAAAGCAGAGTTAAGTCCAGCCCCCCTCCATAGATTCGGTTTCATCGGACTTTCACTTTTATGAACTGGGGTTTGCCCTAATTAGTCTGGTGTATCGAGGTGGTACTATATAATTATGGTCAAAGGAGGAAAGATAGCAGCAGGGCAATTTTGCAAGTTGGATACTTTTGGCAATAGCTACTGAATGGGCTTTTCACCACTGCATTCTGTTGATTTGTGGACTGTATGTATGCAGAATAACAGATCAGCAGTAGAGCACCCAGCACAAAAGCCAAAATGTTGACCACTGAGTACATTTTCATTTTCAAGTTGTCTGATGAGCATTGATTACGGCTTCTAAAATGATATTGGGTAGTAATTTGAAGTGTAGGACTATCTCTTTTCTTTGAGGTTGGATGAAGAGGGGAAGGATGAAGTACAAAGAGATAGTTTGAGGAGTGTACTGTAGACTGAACAGGACAAAGTTCAGTAGAGAACTCTTTGAGAACAAGCAAGGAAATTTAATTTGGGCCTGGAGCATTAAATATTTTTTAAAACATTCTTGATTATTTTTGCATCTTCTGTTTTCATTCCGAGAACAAAAATTTAAGGCCAAAATAAAATCATATGACTCTTAAATTCATCTACGAATATTGTACCAAAAAAAAAAAAAATGAAAAGGTATTGTCAGACACACCACTGTCCCTTTGATAATACTATATTTAGTTTTTTTTACTATTTTACAAACATTGACTTTTACTTCTAGATATGCAGTATATTACATCTTGAAAAACACAAATGTCAATAATCTGAAAATTATTTCTGGTCTAAGCCATGTTCATAAAGTTGATACTAACGGTGCTAATGTACAGTTCCTTACTGTAGATTTCCAATAGTCTATCCAAAAATTAATAAATTTCAAGAAAATAAATTAATTTTCATACAGTATTTACATCAGTGCTATGTATAATATACACCCCTGGTAGTAGACACAACACCTGTGATATTATCCTGTAGCAATATCTACACTATGATGCCATACCTTTGTCTATGTCATCCAAAAATGAAAGCAGTCTATTTGGTTCACTCGTACTTTTTGATACAGTGTTCTTTCTCTCTTCAGTTTTACCTCTATCTTTACCTTCACTGTCTCTTTTACTACTTTTGAACTTAGTTGTATCAGAAGTTTCCTTGGACTGATCCAATAAGTATTTATTTTGTGTCCACAGAGATGGTCCTGAATCACAAGCCTCTTGAGTTTTCACCTTCTGGCCTCCTACAAGACGATCACATTCTGTCAAGACCTCCAAAATCTTTTCCTCAGAGAGAGAATCTTTTCCAACTACTCCAGTTCCACTTGATAAAACTTGTTTACTAGTAGAGGCATGACGGTGTGTGGCGCCATGTGTCACGGCTGTAGCTGCAGCAGGTGTTGGGTAGGTTTTGCCCAACTTCTTGAAGTAGTCTGTGATATTCCTTTTAACAGCTGGCATCTCTTTTCTTGTATTTGTATTCTGGGGTGGGGCAGGTACTGTGAAACAAATTACACTCCATTAGTTACCTCACATTACTTGTCTACAACTATTTACAGTACATTACATATACTCTCTATAAATTCTATTCAATAATGAATTTGTTGTGATGAGGAAAATGTTAAGTGTAAAAGCCATTTTATTTGACTGTATCCATAAAATCAACATGCGACATAGGATGCGGTGAAAAGTGTAATCAGTGATTCATCCTTGTGAGGCAAAATGTCAAGACAGACAGGAGGAATTAAGAGAATACTAGTAATGTGTGCTGTGTTCTGCATTCTTAACCCTCTGAGTTTGGGGTACCTGAGGGCTAGTTAATCTTATCACTAACTAACCAACTCCCAAGCATTTCTAGATGAATTTTCCCTATGTATAGTGGATGATATTTTTATATTTTGTCCATATGCATATTATTTTGATACTTTTTTGAGACTTGTCAAAGGGGTTAAAACTATGTAAGAACTCTAGTGACACTATAAGTAACTTTAGTGACAAGAAAACTTGAATGATAGTCTAAAAACTTAGAAAAAAGCCTTTTTAAAAGGTGTTTTGTGATCTTGGGAGAGTATAAAACTTGTTGTGACATGTGCTGTATATGTACGGTGTATGTAATATTCGTTTTAACACAACCGCTGGTTTGTGAATGTTAAAAAAAGTCTTACATAAAAGACCACAAACTAAAGGAAATAATCCATCCTGCAAATGCTCAAGTCTACAAAAATACTTACCGTAGTTTGATAATTGATTATCATTGCCTCAACATTTCAATATAAATTATGCAATTAAATCATTAATTTTAAGACAAACGTATATCCTTGTGTATTTACCAGCAGAATCCTCATTATCAGTCTCTGACTCATAAGCCCCAAGGTTGTGGTAAATGTACTGGAACAAATCAGAACCATCTGCCCACTCCCGAGATCCATGGTGGATCAGCAATTGAACCAATTCACCTATAAAGAGGAAGGGAATGGTTTGAAATTAAACATCCTACATACTGAACTATCAAAGCTTAGAAATTTGATTATCTTGGGACCAGTTTTTAATTGGTATTTGCATACCGGTATTATAAATATAAATACATGTACATAAATGAATGAGTTTTATTATGAGGTAGGACACAGTTATCCAGGTGTCACTGCTACATCACCATTATGCTTCATATTATGAATTCATCTTCAAGTTCTGATATAACAGTTTGGCTTTTTTACACAAAAGAGGTCAGAAATGGGCACCCCCTTCACTTAACACCTATACACTCACCTACTGAAACATTGTTTTCCTTCAAAAAAATATGCATGGCTGCAAGGTCATTACAAAGTTTCTGGTCTCCAAATGTAAAGTAAGCCACATCACGTCCAATGTAACCACACACCGCTAACTGAATCAAGGACTGAAATAAAAGTAATTTGTCAATTATACAGGATGGACATATAATCTGGACACCCCCTTGTGTAAAGATCTTGTATATGAAAGAACTATTTTATTGCATATCCAATTGCACATTGATATGCTTACTTATAATGACACACTAACATGAGGCTCGATCAATAATCCATCATGTCTGTCTGCTGACCATCATTTTCATGACTGAGGATGAAACATTTCCATGCCCAACAGACATACATTTTGGATTAGAAATTGAACCTTTAGTTAAGCTGTGTCAATATGAGATATGTAAATGAGTTAATAAATGAAAAAGTTTAGTACACCACCAGTACAGGACAGTATGTGCGAATAAATCTGGTATTTGCAATCATTTTGTCCGCATGCTGGAGGATGTCGAGTTAATAATCTGCACTGCCATCTTGTTGCAGATATTCAAGACTACATGGACCAATCAAGATTCAAGATGACATAGTCATAAAAGGTGAGGGAATCTATCTTATAATTTCCTAATGTTTCAAATTCATCATAATCAATGTTAACTTATATTATATGTTAATATTTTCAATTCCTTCAAACCTTTTGTGCAAGCATTATAACTTTTGAACTCTGTGTAAAAGGACACTTTATGCTTGAAAAATTTTATCACCATCTTTTGGCTGTTATAGACCTAACCTAACCTAACCAAACATGTTGCAACACAAACCTTCAGAGGAAGTCCTCCAAATGTCACAACAAACACCTAAACTGAAGTTACCACACCATGTTACAACATAAAACTACACAGCAATTCCTACAAACAAATTAGGGTTACGACAAACTTCATGTATCTCTTCTAATTAGTTCATCTCAACCAAAGCTTCCTCATTCATTCCTTCACCAGAATTCTAGTCTTCCCAAACTCCTATTGTAACTCATCACACTTACATATATGTTTTACCTTTTAATCTTCCCGAACAAAAGTTATACTCATAAATGCAGTCTTAATATGGTATGTCAAGGACTGTCATCAGGTCACAGTCTGTTGACCTTGGTTTCCAAGCAAGAATTATAGTTTGACACTTTTACAAACTTTTGGAGAAAACCATTCAAAGAGAAATACAGGCCAAGTTCTCTTTAGATAAATTTAGTTTCTATATTTCCTCTATCTTCATCACTTATCACAGTTTCCTAAAACAAAGGCAACTAGGAAAAAATTCCTTAACCACTACCTCATGGCTATAACTATGAATATACAGTATTGTTATAATGATGAACTGTGGATATCTGCTTAATTTATGGCATGCTAGCCACCAAATCAATCAATCTCCCACAAAACTATAAATCCAAAATCAATCAGGACTGTTATGATAGAAGACATGACTATAGGTACTGTACTATAAAACACTCAGCTTAAAAATGAACATGAACATAAACATACACAGATGCTTACACACAGACTGACAAGAAATGTGTGTGGGTAGATACCTTGAGTCGTGGATCCCCTTTGAAAGCCCCACATCCCCAATTCCCTGTAGCAACAGCTATTTGAACTCCTGGGCTATTGTTCAGAACTTTAAAACCAGCATATGCCTGAAATTATAATAATACATATTTAGTATATTCATCATAAAAGTATACAATTGGTTTGCCATGTACTGTATACAGTAGTCCCTCGCCAACTGCAGGGGGTAGGTTCCGAAAAACACTGTGGTTGGCAAGACTAAAGACTTATGGGAAATAGGGGGTTAAGTTCTATGGCTGCTAATAACACTCATCACAGCCTAACAAGTTGTTTGTTCCTTCACTAAACAATACCTGTATTGTACATTTAATTTGAGTCATATACTGTATATATAAAATAGCTTAATATAAATTAAATAGTAATACAAATTTTACAGTACTGTACATCTCCATGGAGATGGCATGTTGCTATAAAATAAGAAAAATGAAGAGCATGGATGTGAAGAGCATGGGTGTGCATGTGTGTGAAGTGAATGCATATGTAGACTTGGGATGTTGCCAGTTTGATTATCCCTGTAGCTACATCCCCTTAGCTCTTCCCCTACCACGCCAAGGTGTGCTATTGTTATTTTTAAACTTGTATTTTCGGTATACGGTATATGACTACTGTATATGCGTAATATTTTAATATATATTTTTTTTAACTCTGAGACATGCACACATGATCGTTCATACAGAATGTGTAAACAAAATAAATAAATAAAAGAAATGATCATAAGGTCAAAATCCTTAAGAGAATAAACATTTCTTACATCCATGGGAGTTAATGTTGGATTGTGGGATGGTAATGGGGGAGTGGGAGAAGGGTGTGGTGTCAGGTATCTCAGCCACTCCCTACCAGGCCAAGCTATGAGCTGCATTATTGTTCTTTTTCAACTCGTAGTTTTGGGTAGATATGTACTTTTTTTTTTAACAGTACATGCACACACAACCAATCATACAATGTGGAAAAACAAATTATCATAAGGTCAAAAACATAAAAGCGAATAAACATTTCTTACATCCACGGGAGTTAACCAATGATCGGGGATGGGGGGCCTCCTGTCTCCAGTGTCCTTAGTGAAACGATTGCCAAATGGTAATGCAGTATTTTTAATATTTTATTTATTAGTATTATTTTTATTCAATCCTCACATTTAAGGAGGAATGCATGAGACTGCGAAGGGATAAAGACGCCACACTAATCCGCGGATATTCGAAGTTCAATGCTGCATTGGTGAAATTGTATACAGAGTAAGAACAGCGAATACCCGGAATCCACGGTTGGCAAGGGTCTACTGTATATAAACAAAACAGGTATACCGTCCATCATGTGTATAGACAACATAGGTTCAGTCCTTTGGGGAATGTGCTAGTGATGTGTCTCTTCTTTCACTGTGACTCTCCTGGTAATTATGACCATACCTGTTGCTAAGACACTAATGCCAGAGCAGATGTCTTGTGAAGTGCAGGTGATGACATCTTTATGGGTGTGGGATCCACAGCTCTTCTTTCAGATTTTTTCCCCGAGAATTTGTACTTGGCTTCATTTGGCAGAGGAACTGGTTATTGCCAATTCCCAGTTCTTTATATCACCACAAACGTGGGTTATGTGAGAGCAGATACAAGTGTAAGGGTATGGAACAAATGGAACCAATCTTGTTTCTTCAATCAGGTCTTCAGATTGATAAGTTTCCAATTGAGACAGTTCTGATTTATGATACTACAGTAGTTCCTCCTTTTTCTAAATTGGTTGAAACTCATTTCCCATCACACTTGTTTAATCTGTAGAATACAGTACTGTACAGTATTCAGTAATTGAGAGGGTGCATTTAAAGTGAAACATGGTCTTCCTATGTTCTCATCTTACATATCTGTGTTTGTCATTAGTTTAATACAAAAATTGTTTGGCATCTTTGTTTCTCTGCACTGATCTACAAGGTGCTGACGCAGACGATTCTGATCATCTTTAAGAGGGTTTAGTTTGATATGGATATACATTGTTCATTTTCTAGTTAACCCAAGCCAGGTGGCTTAGATACCATTCCACCTTCTTTGGGTTCATGGGTAGTCACTTGGAAATTAAATCCAAGATGGTGAACCATGGCAGTGGTGTGGTACGTGTACTGGCTAGGTGGACATAACTCTCATAAGATCTTTTGGTTCTGTATGGCATCCATTTCTTCCACAACACCCTTCTGAAGGGAGTTTGTGACAGGGAGGGATGGGAGGGACAGGCAAGAACAGCCCCCAATTACCAAATGGAGGCAGTCTACTATCATAAATCCCTAGAGTGGATACACATTAATGACACTTCCTGGTTATGGGCTTAACTAGAAAAAGGAATTTCAGAATTAATCCTCTAATCATCCTTAAAACAGAATCGTAGTAGAGAATTCATTATTAGTTATTCATACAGCGAATGAAGTCTATATGCAACACATTCCTTCTAATATTACCTTATTCAGCTCTCTTCGGACAAAAGTTGGCCTGTATTGCACTTGAGGTTGTCTGGTAAAATGAAGAGCATCAATAGCAGTGACCTGACATAAACGTCGGCCCCAGGCATCAACAGGGGTAGTATCTTCATGTGACCCCTTCCAGCTAAAGGTTGAGGCATAGCCAGTGCTATCATTATACTGCTCAACTCCTGATGATGAGAGAAAATTTAACGAGTTCTCTGAATTAGCTGACCTTACAAACCTGTATCTTATATGAATTCCATTGACCTGCACTTGAAAATAAAAAAAATGGAGTAAATGAGCACAGTGGATATGAGTGAAGTGAGTAGAAATAAATTTATAAACAATGGTAGCACTCTGTTATTACATTAGATCCACAAATAGGCAACAATATGTGACTAATATCTAGTTTGGGCATGCATTAAAATACTTTCCACCATCACCATCATTAATGTAATACAGCTATTTTCTACACTTGCGTGTGTTGCAGTTACTTAAGGCAGCAGTTGAGTCAAACCAGAACAAGATGTTCAACACCCCTCCCTCCCCTCCCCCAACACAAACCCAGGGTGCTGCCAGCCAAAAAAATGCAGCAGGGATGAATGAGATCAAAACCTGGATGACCTGAGAAGCTAACCAAGAAGACTGGGAAGGTGCACAGTACCATCAGGCATGTTATGTGCTCACCTGACCACCTCCCTCAAATATTTATGTAGGAAAAGCCTTTACTTCTAAACAATACTGTAGCCCCTTTTAGGGTTTTAGTTACAAAAAGGAAGGCTCATTAATCATATATATTAGACCCAGCTACTAAGGTTAAGTTCACTGTACTGTATATATACTCAAAGTGCCTGATGAAGGGTGTTTAGCCACAAATAAAGAGAGAAAAAACACAAAATGAATAAGTGAGAATGTGAGATTGAAGAGAGTGAGTGAGGGGATGTTTCAACTGGAGGAGCCTGCATGAATATACCAAGGTCAGTACATGGAAATCGTCCTTTAAGACCCACCATGATGTACAACAGAAGAGGAAAAGTAAGATACAAAAAGACAGACCTGTAGCCACCATCAACTATTACTCAACAGGTTATTGCTCTGCAAAAAAAAAAAAAAAAAAAAAAAAATTCTATTACATATTTGCTGCAATACATACCTGTGATAATGAGGGCTTCTGATTTTCCCAGTGCTTGTGTGAATAATCGGGAAACTATCAGCTCTGGGGAGAGCACAAAGCGGATCTCTTCTTGCACGCACCCAAGACCTAAGACTCCTCCACCCAGGTATCTATGGGTACAATTTAAGTAGAGTACTGTAGTGACAAAAGACATATAAATGAAAAATATTTGGTATTCCATTTTATTACAACTTCTTAATAATTTACCAAGGAATAAAGGTATCACCACCACTAGATCCTGAGAGGTGGAGCATCACCCTTCTGTGGCCTGAAGATACCTTTAACGACATGAATAAAGTGCACCTCCTGGTGAGGGTGAGGCTGAAGTTGCATTCCTGCTCCTAATAATAATTCTTCACCATGTTCACAAAACCCATGCACTCAGGGGTGTTCCCTGCATGTTCTTCTTATAATTATTTCCCCAATCATCACTTGTGATGATATATTGAGATATATATATATATATATATATATATATATATATATATATATATATATATATATATATATATATATATATATATATATATATATATATATATATATATAAATAATAATAATAATAATAAACGGTTTATTAATAGAGTTGCAGCCGGTGGCTGAAAATATACAGACTTTTATTAGATTTAGACATAATGATATAATATGCATTGAATACATTTACAGGGCTGTGCAGTACATAAATCAAGAGTTGTTTATTATTTTAACACTAGATGGGATGGTGCTGTTCTTATATCTATCGGTGCGGGCTCTTATGGGCTGAATTTTGTTGTAGTGGCGGACTGCAAGAGTTGTGTGTGTGTGTAAGAACCTCAACTTGGAAAAGCTTGTATCTACCCCTGACTATTAACAAAGATGACCAATAATTGGTAATAAGCTGCATCAGTGACGGGTGGGTTGTGTGAGCTGGCCAAAAGTTCTCTCAGGGAGTCAATCAGTGCTAGTATTCATGGAGGTGGGTGACATAACTAAAAAGGCTCATAAGTTCAAGACATACAGTTAGCAACACCTGTTACAGTAGATGGTACAGGACAAAGGCAGGCCATCCTGTACTATCACCATATCACTATTTGGCCTGCTTGCATGACAATTTCAAGATAACAGCATCTGCTGGTGAGTACAGTATAGTGTATACAATATTATAGTTTGCTTATTTACAATATACTGGTTGTGCACAGTAATGTTTTCAGTAATAAATACACCTCTGTAGATGTCCGATTGCAGTTAAGCTTTCATAGCAATGGTGCTCCGTGCCATATGTGTAGCTTAGACACAGAAACATTCAGCAATGCCCAGAAAAGTTCTGTAGATGTGCTATATTTTTGGGGGGAATAAGAGAATTATTCTCAATACTCGGAAAACTTTGAAACCAGGAAACGTTCTTCACCACCTGTTCTGGCAAACAGGGATATTACTTTTCTTATCATTTACACTACCATTGGGAAAAAATATGGTAAGACCAAGATAAGCAGTGTTTTATCTGCAGCAATAAGGAAAAAATACTGGGAAACTCAGCCTAAAGGTAAGATTAAAATCCTTGGGTAAAATATAGAATGGGGTCAACAATACCTGTCTTTCTATTTTCTGACTCCCAGGATGGTTGATTACTTAAAGTCATTTTAAACCCTTCAGCTATTTTTTCTTAATTTCCTATAAAAATTCATGAAGGGGTTAATTACAGTCACTAAATCAGAATATGTATTCCATTCTTTATTTAAGTCACATATCTCATATTCTAAAAAAAGGAAGGAGTTTCTGCCTATTGAAATTCTTACTTGTTTGCAAAGTCAGCTTGAAGTAATCCACTTGCATCTTCTATTAGGCCATTGGTGTTAATGTGAATCTTTGGTAAGTGGTTAGAGGAGGATTCCCAGGCTGGTAAGTCTTGATAGCAGATGTACTGTCGGGTGAAGGTCACATTTCCAGTTGCCTCTGGAATGTTCATAAAAATGTAATTTGGGATGAAATTTAATATATATTTTTTTAAATTATGGTATAAATACAGTATACAGGACGAAACAAATCTTAGGAGTAGAATATTTTGCCACATATTAGGGAAGTATTTCAAGCTCACTTAAACCCAAACTGGGATTACAGTGATGATTTTATGCACAAAGTGACTCAACATACACGGAGGTCTTACATTATCAGAATTTAGGCCAAGGCCAGATGTGGTATTTACTGACGACTTACCGGACTTCCCACAATCAATAAGCAGTAATGTCCGAAAGACTGTGCATAGCATAGGTAATTTTCGTAGCAGTTCACTTTTGACACAAATTGGCACTAGTTTGAGCAGGCAGTGTCAAAGTATAGGGTATCAATAGGTTACAACCAAATACATAGTTTTGCCTGTATTATGAAAACATCGAACTGATGGTTAATGAAATTGAAGATAGTGTACCCCTATATCACGTCACCCCCTCACACACCAGCCTCCACCAATGCCTGGTCTTTTTCTCCCCCTAACTCATGAGCACATTGGAATCATGCTTCAATGCTCCCTGGGTTCACACATCATGGAGAGAGAAGATTGACAATGCTAACTGTACACACACAAATTTCCAGTTCCATTATGTTTCACTCAGTACAAAAATTTCCCTCCTTCCCAAACATTGACATCCCTCCCCTGCCTCCCCAAATATCCCTATGAAAAATCTTTACCAAATGTTAATTTTCTAATAAATTTCTTCTCGTGTTTCTATTAAAAAAATCCTAAATCACGAAGTCTATCCTTCAATATGATGTTATAGTGTCATTTCTGTTCTCACTTTACATATTATGTACACCGGTAAAAATAATAACGTCAGTCCACCAACCTTTTCTTGTCACTCGTCGGAAATAATTAAGTAAACACTTCATCTTCTCCAATGCTCGCTTCTCTTTATGGAAGAATAATCTGCGAATTGGAAAATGCATTAGTTTCCACTTAATCAACTTCAGCTAAGAGAGACTGTGCTGGGATGGGTTAGAATAGACTGTGCTTAGATTTCAAAAGTTAAATTGGTTTAGTTCACATTGGGTTGGGTTCACTGCATTTGCTTAGAGAGTTAGGAAAAAAACAAAAACAGTAGTACAGGTATAGCAATGTATAGTTTTGGAATTTGACTGAGAGGTGGAATTATTAAGGAAAAACTATGGCTTGAACCAAAAATTCTGTTTAAAAGTAAGGTTTCCTAACATGCTCTAAATCTTTGTTCCTTCAGAAACTCAAAACTGAGATTTCTTCCAATTAAAACAGAACTTTGTCTCAAACCTTCTCAAGGGAAAGAATTAAAAGTTTTCCTGGACACATATATTTGTGATCATAAGTAGTCAGTACACTGGTAATTATGGTGTGTAGTGGATGTGAGTACAGTGAAACCTGCTTGTATATACAGCACAGTATTACCTCTCTATATGGTATATTATGCAAATAATAAACAGATCAGAGTTATTCATATGCTTGTTTCAGACCAGCCGTTGGAACCAAGAACAAGTAAGGCTGAACAAAACAGCTACTGTATCTCGACCACTTAGTCAAGCCGTCAGTCAGCCAAGCTGGAGAGGTATTAATATAGCTGGCTGATCCAAGGTAATAACTGCATTCATGATTTTCGAAGTCCTTATCTCTACTTACAGGATATTAAATAAAATTTTGCACAATTTTGTTATTACTCACCTGTTAAAATTAATGTCAGGATAATTTGCATATTCAGTCTCACTTCCCTTTGCATTTCTTCGTGGGAATGTACAGAAGAAGGCATTTGCTAGAAGAGATGCAATCTGAAATAATACAGTGACAAGATGCATATAAAGAAATTCCTAATTATGAAGGAATAAAATGATACTTCCCTTCCACAACAAGACTGATCACCAGTACCCAGGAAACTGAAAAATCCTCAAAACTATCCCAAGAGTCCTGGACTTAAGGGTCTATACTTGTACAGTGACCCCTCGTTTGACGAACACCTCGGTTAACGTAATTTCGATTAACGAACTGCCTTCCATAAGGATCTTCAATTCGGTTAACGAAAAAAAATTCGGTTAACGAAGTTCTTATGAACCGACCTCAACTTGTTTTCGCTTGCACTGACCGGGCAACCAGCTTTAGTATCAGTCCGCCAATACATTAATCGGTTCTAGGGCTTAAATTCCTTACTATTTTAGTAAATATCAAGAAGTTTATACTATTCAATAATTTTAAAAGTTTAATATTAAATTTTTTTGTCATTTTAACAATTATTGAACATAATTGAAGGTAAAGTGACTAGTTTAATGCGCGGCATCCAGCCTCTTAACACAGCAAACAGGAGTTAGTCTCTCTCTGTTTTCACTGGAGGTAACATCTTGCTTGAGACTCTCTTCAACTAAATGCTTTTTTCTGTGTTTCCAAGCAAATTATTGGTCATTTTGAAATATATTTTACATATTGACAATATATAATGCAGTGCAGTGTTGATTTTAAAGAAAATAATCTTGAATTACACCAGAGCTAAAATTTTATGGGTGAAATGGCGCCATGGGGTGACTTCTCTTCCACCCCAATGCCTTCTCTTCTTCCTTCTCCTCCACCCCCATTCTAAATCCCATCATCATCATCATCATCCAGGAGCCTTCTACATACGCACCTCAAAGTAAGTGAACTTTTCTACCATTTTTGTTGAATTTAGGAAATTTTCGGTGAGCTGGAACCAATTACCCAAAAACCCATTGAAACAATGGTTTCGGTTAACGAACTTTTCGGTTAACGAACGACCTTTGGAACGGATTGAGTTCGTTAAGGAGGGGTCACTGTATTATTAATATTACCCGGTATTACAATATAAATATTATTTTAACTATCATTATTATTATATTATTATTATTGAAGTACTATTATTATTACCCATTTGTGGTACCGAAATATATTTGAGGAGGACTATTCAATATTTAGTGTAAATGATATAAATGAGCTAGACATAAACGAGTTTCTCCTGTTTCTTGGTTTGCCTTGAAAAAAGTGGGAACCCCTTTTTGGTAACAACTCAGCTTGTGATTTATGGAAATACTGGAACAAACTTAAGACATTTATAAGAGCAATTGCAAGATTAGTTTGAAATATGATTGGTCACGTATAGTATTCCAAAATGTTCTTAATATACTAAAACACTGAATTCCTTTTGAGTGGAACAAGAAAACAGGGAGAAATATTAAGACAAAAAAAAAAAAAGACATGCACAACACACCTGCATCTGTGAGAGCGTGATGGAGTGTGCGGCTCGACTAACAAGGAGTGGTGGGGGCTGCGTAACAAGCTTGGGTAAATTCAGAGCTAGACGTATCATTGCTGGTAAGGTGTTACTGAAGAAATAATCACGTTCCTCTTCTTCAAACTCCTTTAAAAAAATATATATAAAATTTTAATTCTTTAGAATGGTCCATGTCTACATACACAAACACATATATACAATACAAATAAAAGAAATAAGTGTCCTAAGGGCACACACATAAAGGGAAAATAATTTTTTTTTCACACGAGTAAAAATGCCCACCGTCCACAAATGTTATTCGCGGATTTGGCTATTCTCAGACATTTTGAGAACCTAACCCCCCCGCGAATTTTAAGGGCATGCTGTACTGAGGAAGCATTGCTGTCACAATGTTATTACCGTACCTCAAACACCTATGGTCTTTAACCCCTCCACAATGAGGATGCCACTTTCAATTTTTATTTGCCTAATGCCAACACATAAAAACAGAGAAACTGAGAAACATAACCCTCTCTATGAGTGAACAGAATGACAAACTCATAAAACGTGCAAAAGCAAAATTTTCTTTCTCTATGGCATGAGTTACAGGCAGTAATCTATTCACTTAAATAATTAATAATATGATTGTCTACCAAGAACAATAAGAAAGTATTAAAGTATGAAATAAAAGGGTTACACAACCATGTGGTATTTTTGGTCTCTTAAGGCTTCTAAGTCACACTTAGGATAGAATAAGTTCAACTTCCACTTGTCTCTCTTTCACAAGCAAAAATATTCATGGAGGATCCAATGAAGCCTGGAAAATTTAATTTAATATTACCCAGTATTAAAATACATATAATTAGTCATAGCAGGTAATATAAAAACAATATAGAACTTAAAAAAAAGCTTGTAACATCACCTGTTCTATCAAGTGATGAAGGCCCTTAAACTTCCACTTGGTAGCATATCTACTGTTGTATTCCAAAATTGCACTCTGAAGCTCCTCCACACTTGTAATGCCTCTCCTGAGTGCTTGGCAGATTACTGACCAACGTGGGACAAGTGAGTCACTGCCCTGTTAATAAAAAATTCTATCATCAAAGCTTTCTTCTTTGAAAAACACTGATACCAATTCTTAAACAACTGTCTTTGGGGAGAAAAACAGAGCAATTTTTATTTCCTAACTCATATTCTTCTTGGATGTATTTCTTCTAACTTTCTAACTAAGCAAGCATATACAGTAGTTTCCATCAAGTCATCACCAAATCTCTAAGTTCACATTTCAACTCATTTAAAGTCATGATACCTGTACTTCTGAGTTTTGATGTTAAGAAAGTAATACCAAATAAAAAGGATCACTATTGAACTGTGTACCTCACTAGGTCCTGAAGAAGATTCATATCAAAGTAAGTTATCAATTTATTTAACCTATAAAGTACTGTAGCTAGCTATACAAGTATTTGTAAATGATATGGGAATGGAGTAAAAAGCCCACAAATTTAAAATAATAAATAAAATAAATCACTGTACACTGTACAGTCGGCCCTTCACATACGCGGGTTTAGCATACACGGATTCGCAAATACGCGGATTGCCCCGCCGGAGGAATATTCTGTACATTGAAGTAATTGAAGTACATTCAAATCGCGCGCCATTCAACTCGCGCACGGCACCGAACACGGGACACCGCCCGCTCCCGCAACCTCACACACACACGCATAGCTCTCCCTCACTCAGTCAGTCTCGCTGTAACCACGCTTGTGTTGACATCAGCATTGTAGTTGCAAAAATATTACATTTCCGTGAATGTATTACATCAAGCACAGTATGAATAGAATATCACTAATATAAGAATATTTTAACCGAAAACTACTAAAAAAACGAGTAACATATCTTGAACATCGGAAGGCTAGGTAAAGTCTTTTGTTTTCATGTAGTTTATCCTAATTTACATTGAAATGCATTACGTTTCAGCAAAACTACTATTTATTTCTGAGAATATGGAAATGTAATATTTTGCTGAAATGACGTACGTATTACAGTGGAAAGTGACGAAAGCAATGACTCGCTTTCTTTCACTCAAAAGATGCTACCGTAATCGCTTTTCGAATGGTTTTCAGTTAAAAAACTGTTGTATTACAATAATATTCTATCCTAATTCACTTGTGATGCAACATTTTTTTTTAACTGAAAACCATTCGAAAAGCGATTACGGTAACATCTTTTGAACGAAAGAAAGCGAAAGTCATTGTTTTCGTCACTTTCCACTGTAATACGTACGTAATTTCAGCAAAAATATTACATTTCCGTGAATGTAGTAAATCAAGCACAGTATGAATATAATATCATTGTAATATAACAGTATTTTAACCGAAAACTATTCAAAAAACGAATAACATCTCTTGAACATTGGAAGGTTAGGTAAAATCTTTTGTCTTCGTCATGTATTTTATCCATTTTACATTGAAATACATCACGTTTCAGCAAAACTACTATTTATTTCTGAGAATATATTCATTCAGGCACAGTTTAGGTAAAATATACATGTGCTGTAACATTTTGTTAATTGAAAACGATTCGAAAAACGCGTACCCTCTAGCCCTGTTCAAGGAGAAGACTGGGAGGAGCTGTTTGGTGCTTAAGACGACGACTAGCCCTGTTCAAGGAGAAGATGTGGGAGGAGCTGTTTGGTGCTTAAGACGACGACAAGGAAAATGATTTTGATGTATTAAGAAAGACCCTGGCACTGTCAAGGAAAGTGGCTGCTGAAGGCTTCCGGGACATGGCAGAGGACGAGATTAGGGAGCTAATTGAAGAGCACGACACTGAGCTGACCGAGGAGGATCTACAGGAGTTAGTAGACTCAGGCAAGGAAGAGGAAGCGAAAGGGAAAGAGGATGAGGAAGAGCACCAAGAAATAACGTTGGAGAAGTTGGGGGAGATGACCAGGAATATTGAGGCACTGAAAAACCTGGCCTATAGTATGGACCCCTCCATGGTGCGTGCCCTGAAATTCATGCGAGGGATGGATGACGTTTTCGCTCCATACAAAAACATCATGGAAGAAATGAAAGAAAGAGAAAACTCCCCATCACCATGTTCTTTGATCACCGAAGGAGAGATTTAACACCATCAATCACTGGCGACAGTGAGGAAGCAGCTGAATCCACAGGCGCCCCCACTTCACCACCCGTTATGGAATTGAGTGACGATGAGCCCGATGACCCCCGCCCTGTCGCCGAGGAGAGGTACGGTACAGTAAAGTGAAATTCTTATCTCTTTTTTTTAATAGCTTTTCTTGCCATGTTTATTGTTTGTAAAAATGCATAGCACAGTACAGTTCAGTACAAGTACTGTACATAGGAAGTGGAGGTGCAGTTATTCACAAAACATTTGTGTTTGTTGTCGGCAGTAGTGACGGTGCGGAGGGAGCGAGTTGGGAGGAGTGGTGAGGTGACCTTGGACGCAGGAGCAGGGACGAGTGGAGATGCCAGCCAGTATATTTCGGGTGTATTAATTGTTTTTATAGCTATTTTTGCATTTTAATATTAAATACTGTACATTACGTTTCAACAAAACTACCATTTATTTCTGAGAACATAGAAATGTAATATTTTTGCTGAAATGATGTACGTATTACAGTGGAAAGTGGGATAAAATTGTGACGCAAGCAATGACTCTCTCTCTTTCTTTCGTTCAAAAGATGTTGCCGTAATCGCTTTTCGAATGGTTTTCAGTTGTGGGATTATAAGGCTAATGATAGGATAGAATATTATTGTAATACAGTACGAGTACAGTACAACAGTTTTTTAACTGAAAACCATTCGAAAAGCGATTACGGTAAAATCTTTTGAACAACGAAAGAAAGCGAAAGTCATTGTTTTCATAATTTTATCCCACTTTCCACTGTACAGTAATATGTACGTCATTTCAGCCAAAATATTACATTTCCATATTTATTTCTGAGAATATATTCATTCAGTCACAGTTAAGGTAAAATATACTTGTGATGTAATATTTTAATGAAAATACGGTATCGTAGTTTTCTTTTGTATCAAATTTAATTAACAAAGATTGATGTTTCAAATGTAATGAACAAAAATTTATGTACAGTATCTATAAATAAACTTTAACAAATGAATACTTTGTTTTACATCGTCCTGTGTATACCATACCATGCATTTGGCTACTTTGGGCTAGCTATGATGACGCAAGAGATCTGCCCTGGCGACTGTACCGACACTCACAGCTGGTGGTGCGTTGGTGCGTCGTTTCCATTGTTTACTGGTAGTTACTGGTAAATATTTTTCAACCTAACGAAACTATTACCCTTTTAGAGGTCGACCCCCAATTTTTTGCAAAATAATTTGGTCTTAAAAACTCGAACTACACACAGGTATATACGGTAAATAAGGACATGGGGGGCCAGGGTTTTTTTTTTGGGGGGGGAGCACATATACGCGGATTTTTAACATCCACGGCTATCTCTGTTACGTAACCCCTGCGTATGTTAAGGGCTGACTGTATTACAGTTATCCTACAAAAGACTAACATCGAAAAATAAGCTAAACAACCTAAGTTAAAGAAAATTTTATACCTGTCAAAATCCTTTGTAATTAAGGTTTCTCATATTTTAGTGTTTTCAACATTCGAGGATTCCAGGATTTCCTGGTTTACGTAAATACGAGTACTACAGTATGTACAGGTACTTAAGCACGAATATTAACATACCCAGTAACCTGTAAAGGTTTATTGAAAAAATATTTTAACAACATATACTGCATAATATTTAAACAGTTAGTGTTATATTCATATTATTAGAAAAAATATATATTTCTCATAAAACTGAACACAAAATATTACAGTACAGTGAACCCTCGAAGATCCAGACTAAAAGGGGGAACCACCTGTCCGCAGAGCCAGATTAAGGGTTTTGTAAGCCCTGGGCACTTTTTTATCGTAGGCCCTTAAATTTCCTGATGCACCATCATGTGCCTTATTTTACCCCCACGACCTTCAAACATCACGCCAACACCGTGAGTGCTGCCAATTATGGATAACAACAACTAATGGGTTAGTTGACACAGGCAGAGATGCAAGCTTTTCCATAATTTTAGGTTAGTCTGTTTTATTGCGGTTTTGCATGTTAAATCTAACAAATTTACTCGTTGTTATTAGGTTTAAGATAATTATGGATTTGCATGTGTGCTTAAGCAAATGCATATTTTAGCATTTTTTTGCTAAAGCACATATTCATTACTTTTTTGTTTCATAAGGCATATTTTTGGAAAATTCTAAGGTATTATGATAAATGCTTCAACCTGTTACGGTATTTAGAATCGTAATATCCAAAAGTAATATACATAGGGTACATTAGGCTGTGGATAGCTAGGCCGTGACGGGCTGGTCAGTGGACAGGAACTGTACGTGATGGGTTCGTGTACAGTTAAGTATGAATAGTAGGTCGAGTTGAGTTGCTTATTATTTTGAGGATTAATAAAAACTTTACATTTGTTTTGCAGTACGTCTAAGAATAAAGTTGTTCGTTTATTCATTTGTGACTTCTATTCAATCATAGTTAGTTTCTGGCAAGTCAGGTTTAAAGCATGTCTAAGCACTAACCAAACAGATACTAAATTAACATTTATAATCACTTAGTTTTATAAATAATCTATTTCTCTCGTCAAATTTTATGATTATTTTTATTTACGCTGTTGGAACATAAGAGTTAATAGGCCAGACCAGTGAAAATACATACATTATAATATCTCAAATTTCGTAGAACCCTTAAACCTTCGTAGGCCCTGGGCACTGTGCCCCCTTGATAATCCGACCCTGCCTGTCTGTAAAAGCCGATTGCTGCTAAAAATGCTCTCTCTGCTTCCACTGATGTGAGGGGCACCGAGTTCAGACAGCAGCTCCCCACTTTGTGTCTCCCGCCACAAATTAGTTAGCATAACAGATGAAAAAGATGTGAAACAACAAGACTGCAATGAAATGTAGGCTGTGTGACTCACCAGTGGACGCGATGTAAGGGTGCATATTTCTTGATTATATGCAGTATGAGTTAACGGGTGTGAAAGAGAAAATATTTTACCAAAAATATTATTGTGATTTCTATCATACAGTAAATTTTTTTATTTTTATTATTTTAAATGCTTTGCCAAAACTGGGATATCCCAAGGTTTTAGGCATATGTCCCAGGAAATAATGTAACCCCCCCCCCCCATAATCTCGGTTGAATAACCCAATGTGTGATCTTTGTGTGTTGTCACCTTGGGCAACTCACCTTCCCTAATGGGTATTGGCTCTTTGGTGAACAAGGCATCCTGACATGATACTGGTCCCAGATATCAGTGTAAGAGGATGGATGAGGGGCTGGAACACCACCACCTGGAGAGATTGGGAGCTTCACCAGTACTGTGTGGTCAGGAGCTGGATACACTGAAGGCAGGTTCAAGTTAGTTGAACTTAAAGCCTCTAAAGATGACAATGGAGAACCACACCATGTGATCTGTTTAAATAAAGTGATATACAGTATTTAGTGAAAATAACACATATCACTACTATAACAAGATATTCAAAAAGAGGTGAATGAAGATATCATTTCAATGAAAGTTGCATGTTGACATAAGTTATGGTTAACTGGAATAAGTTAATTGCCTATTCCCTTTTAACTTCTCTATCTGTACTGTGTACGGGGTATTTGTTGACACATGGTCCATGTGAGAACAGGCAGCATCTGATATAAGTTACCTCGAATCTTTGGTTTAATCTGACCAATATTAATTTCTCATTAATACAAATAAATATAAATAAATATAATTAAGGTACTGTACTGGACTAGAGGATTTACTCAGACAATTAATGTTTATGAATTGCATGAAGTTTCTGGGAGTCAGAAGTAAACAAACCCTAAAGAGACCATACAGTACATATACCGGTACACTGTCCTGTATTTAATGTTTGTTTATTTTTAATGTATGCATATAATGTTGTTTTCTTCATTTTTTATTTAAGAAGTAAAACAAAGTTCAACTAAGATGAGTGGAAACAGAACATGACTTAGTCTACTGGTAGGCCTGGGGTTACAGAGGGATGACCTAGCACCCAGGAAACTGAAAAATCCTCCATACTGGTTTGGGGTTGGTCCCATGGGTCCTGAATTTGAGGGTCTATACTTGTACTATATTTACAATTGTTTTGTAATCCATTGTTGGATGGCTTCTCAGAAAAAAATATGAATGGATTTAACATCGCAATATTATCCATCTAAGCTGCCTAAAATTACTGTTTTTTGCAAATAAGGGAAAAATTTGAAATTTTTAAAAAACAGTCAACCACATTATGCAGTCTGTGGGCATTTTGGTTGGTTGTCTATTCTGACAATTATTCTTTCTGAACTGTGTTGTACTCTCTATCTTTCATGCACCTGTACTTTTACATTACATATTCAGATTTGTTACAGCACCTGAAGTACAGTATACATTGCAAATACTGTACTATAGTTACAAAAAAAAAACATACAGTATAAAGTATTCACCTCTGTCTTTTCCGCTGCTTTGATAAAATCATCGTCGTCATCAAATATATCTGGGGATATTCGACCTTCTTGTTCAACCCTGTCTGATGGCGTTGTGACTCCCAACCGCATCCTCCTCTCAGCTGCGTCTGCCAGAATGTTACGCCGCTCTGAAGATCTTCCATTCGAGACCCGACCTTCCTTTTCCTGGTAAAATGTTCCAGTGGTACAATATTCAAGCAGAGGACACAGATTTGTGAAAAATTTGAATTCTTTAACACTTATTCTACTCCATATAAACACTGTGGCTTATAAATAAAAAATTAGAATATAAAACTATAAAAGAAGAAAAATAAATAGCATGAGTGTGTTTGTGTGGTGGAAAGTGAACATGTGTGAAGGCGGTAAGCTGTACTGCATTGCTGTACTCCCTCCCCTGTTGTGATATTATGGCATACACACAGAGCAGCGAGGCAGCAGTCCCATGTCTGTGAGTCAGCTGAGTGGCTACCCGGCTGAAATAGGTTGTGTCGCCCAGAGGATGGTTTCAGTGAGGACGGTGCTATTTTTTGTACTGCACATAAATCCGTGGAGTACATTGTGAGTGTCGCACAATTTACCTGCCCCAATCGCCTCATCACCTCAAGAATCAAAGGCCTTGTAATAAGTTACCAAGTAATAATGAACTAGTACAGTACTTTATTATTAACATGTACAGTACTATGTGCTTCTATGTTTCATCAACAGGCACATTTCAGTGCAGTAATAATGAATACCATAAGAAACACTCTTCTACTTAGTACAATTCTCTTATCACTCACCCATTATATTAGGCCGTGGCCATTAGCAGTGAAAAAGTATATAAACTTTTATCCATAACACCTGTTCTAATTGTGTTTTAAAGATGAAGTTGATTCCATAATGGTCATGAAACAAAATATTTTGACATGATACAATGATGGGAACT